ATGTTCCCGAAAGTCAATACATTTATTGTTTGCTAATATGTTTGTAAAGCATTTTATATTTTCTTATTTGATAAAATTAATGGTTCAATCTAAGTGTTTCTATAAATTTGATGCAAAGCCTATTACATATAGATAGGTATAAAGTCATTTTTGCTGGTCATGATAACGGCAGAATGTAGGACAGAAAGTCACAGACAAAAAGTCGCGGACAAAAAGTCACATGTATAATATGTTATAAACATTGACTCCTGTTTCAAAGTAAAATCTATTTTTTTTTTAAAAGAAAGACAATATACTAATTTTGAGAAACATCTTTCTGTAATGGGCTTTCAGTGAAAATCAAAGTATATGTACATGTATATAATTCTTTTAAAGTTACCCTGTGTAAAGAGTTATCATATTGTCAACATTTTTTAATTTGCTGCTAAAAATCCATTAAGATAATTGTTATTTTCTCAAATTTCAATAATCAAATGCCTATTACTAATGTTAATATAGTGCTACCATAGGCGGATCACGGGGCCCTGAGGGCCCGCCCCCTCCTTTCATTGGAAACATTTGGTTGATTAAATATGGAATCACTGAAGCATGAATGTAGCGGGCCATCTCTTAAGGCAGTCAGTGGGACCCCTTGTATGAAAATTGTCTAGATGGTATATTTTCCCCCTGCTGCTCGTTGTAAGACCCGCAGTCACCCGCTGACAGATTTTCCGCGGGTCCTCGTAGAGAAATGGAACTTTTTGAAAAATTTCGAAAATTCCTCCCCGGCCAGAACGTCAAACAAGAAATGTGTCGAATGGATTACAGGGACCATCGGGTCGACGGCTGACCGCACCTGCCCTTGTTTGTTATGCCCTTTGTTTACTAAAGAACCCTTGTGTTAATTCTTTTAGGGGCTCCCTAGTTGACCTTTCTGTCCTTGTCCAATTGATCCCGATTTCCAGTGATATTTCAAATTGTCCGCCTTCATCCCAGCGTACCCCTATTGCAGGACCTTATTGAAATTTTCCATTTTTTATAACTTCACCTCAAAAAAGATCTTCATGTAGATACTCATCATCCAATAATACAATATTATTCAAAACGTATAGCTATACATGCTTTGCCATTTCAACATTGAGTTTAAGAATGAATAAAAAAAATAAACAGCTCATAATAAAGGTATTTTTTTCCTTTATAGAAAAGTTAGATGGTCAATTATCATTTATTTAGAGGATCAACGTCTGACTCTTTTGGTTCTATTTTTTATTGTGTTGAATTGTATCAAATTATTGACTTTAATTAATTTTTGGTCAGTAGACTAGCACAGGACCTACAATGTTGCTATTAAATTTATTAATTTTGTTCTCTTCTGAAATATGCATGAGATGTTTGACACTGGACATAAAGCAAACCACAACTAATAGCTATAATTCCAACCTGTCAACACCAAGTGGCACTTTGATCTTTAATCTTCACTACAGAATTTGAATAACAGTTGATGGAATGACTTGTAAAAACCATCATTCTTTGACACTGCATTAAATTAAAAACTTACAGAAGAGAGTTTTTGTATGAGAGATTTAGTCTATTTTAAAGCGTTTTCCAAGTTTATGTTTATAATTTGTTGTTTCTATGGCAACACTATCACTAATAATGCCTGGAATATTATTAGTATTTCCTAAATACAAGAAAACCTGCATAATGTAAGCAAAATTGTATACATTCATTGCTATATGTATCGAAGTTAATTAAACGAATTTGTAAAAATTAGCACTTATCAGTATTTTTGCAAATGGACTGTTTGTTTCCATGGCAACACATTCAATGGCAAATATTGCACAAATAAATATATAATGTTTTAAATGATTTTATTTGTTTTTTTCTAGTTTTTCTTGTATATTTTTCATGAACTTATGAAAACAGACTGAAATTTCTTCATAATCAGCACTTTTATCCAGATTAGAGAAATTGTATTTGTTTCCTTAATGTGGTAACACCATTATCGATATACTATACTAGCAAAATTATTTATACTTGTTTTAGTTTTCCTACTTTTATGCACATTTAAGAAACTAACTTAAACTTTTTCAAAATTGTTTTAAACTTGTGTATCATCATGAAATTGTTTCCATTGCAACACAAATAAAACTATAATACCGTTATATATGAATATGTTTAAAATTTTGATAATTACAATAATTTCTACAAATTGTATATTTATTTATCTTTTTCTGACTGCAGAATTAGGTTTTAAAACATTTTTTCAAAATTTTTCAAATTTTTTTTTCAGAAAAAATGAAAGCTAAGCATTTTGTATCCATGGTAACAAAAAAATGAGACATAGTTCCCCATTACTTCTTCGCATCATTGATAAGATCAGACTATGGTATTTATGAATTCATGGTTGACTTTAACTCAGGTGTCCGCATAAAATTATGTTGAGCATTCAAAAATGACCTCAAAAGGGTATTTTTTACCTAATGCAAACCATATTAAAAGGGGGGTATATGTGATTATGATTCAAAATGAATATGAAAATATCAGTTATTAAATTACATTAATAAAATACATATATTTAATAAAATCATAAAAATTATATTTTCTCTTAATCATTTATTATGAAAAATTATGTTGAAAATAGCCTTTTTCAGCTTAAAATCATAGATATCCAGAAGAGATAAAACTGGTAATCGGTTGCTATGGCAACCGATATGCTTAGCAACCAAAATTTTGTCATTTTTTGTTTGTTTCATCAAGAATAGTAAGTGTTTGAAGTTTGAAGAAAATCCATGACCATGCGTGCCACACTCCCTATGTAAGAGTTTAAATAGTTACAGAGAACCAGTATTAACTTCGTACTTTTTTTCAGTTTTTTTTTTCGAGCGTCACTGATGAGTCTTTTTTCAGACGAAACGCGCTTCTGGAGTACAAAATTTCAATCCTGGTATCTATGAGGAGTTTATCTAAATATCAAGTTGATCATAATATTTGAAATATTTATTCATTTTTAAGTTGGTAATTTTGAATCAAACGCATGCCCCACATTTCCTTTTAGTCACTTGAGTCCAATTCTACTTTTTCAGTTTAATACTTGTGTTTCATTACTCTCTTACAAACATAAACATAAACATTTCCAAAGATAATGTCGTGTACCAGTTCATGTTTAACATTTTTTTCACAAACTAAATGCAAGAACATCCTGAACATTTCTCCGCTTATAACGGTTATTCCATGTTCATCAGACCTACGATATATGCACAGGAATATGGTCACCTGGACTTTTCATTTTCGCAGTTAACTTTTGCCAAAGATGTGAGTTCATTCTGCTGGTTGGGATGTATACATATGTATTCAAATACGAACATAATGGAGACGCTTACATTCCATATGCCTCGTTTAGGGAGATTGACACGTTCTCTGCCAGATATAAGTATAGACTCTTAACGACCTGTTAGAAAGGTCCGTCAGGCAAATTGTATTCTTCTTTTTAATTTCTCTTTTTTTTGAGTGACCGTTTAAAGCCTCATCCCCGATTTTTCATCTATGTTTGCCTCCGTAGGTTCAGCAAATAACAACTAAACAATGATATTTTCTGTCTGTCAACATTTGAACTTAGAAATCTTTTAGCCAAAACAAATATTCAAATGTTAATTATTTTGACTTCATACACGACAAGGCGTTTAAAGACGCAATTTCTTGTTCATTATCAGACAAAAGATGACTGATTTGCAATAAAAAGTTTCGTCATTCGTTCTCAATGTAAGAAAACATATCTTATATTGTCCATGATTGATTAGGCCCAATGAATCTCGATGGAACAATTGCTGATAACGGAAAAAAAAACCAATTTGAGTGTATTCATTCATGTGGTCAGACGGTATTTCGTGGTTTATCAAAATATTTCATATGAATATTTATAAATCTATAACCCTTAATGAAATGCGAGAAATATCGAAATCTAGTGGAACAAAATGTGTATGGTCAGAAATTTTGCCCAGTTCACTTCCAAATTAGAGGCCACGGTAGTGTACCGATGTTCACATCTCATACATCCACTAAGAAGATACAAACCAATTAAAAAAAAATACTTTGGGAATTGCAAGAGCGAGTTGGTGCAACGATAGGGTAAGAATCTACTACTATGCATGCATCATCCTCCATGAAAATCCACAGTGAGTCAAAATTTCACATGTCGGGAATAAGAAGCAATTGTTTAAGTTACAGGCCAGACAAATATTCTGGTATCTAAATAGATAAGCATGTGAAAAACATGTTGCTAGTGACTTGAGACATACACATATCGTAACGTTCAATCAATTCTTCATTGAGAGTGTAAAACGTTAAAGAGTCGATTTCAGTCGTTCCTTCTCCCAACTCTGTTGGAGTATTGTTTGTGTCAGAAGGACATCTCAGTTAATGACGTTTGTATAATGTGAATGAATATTTCACTCTATAAATTTGATGAAAAGGAAGTGCTTTACCGAATTTTCCTACGAAACACTCAACAAATTTTGAAAACCAGGGGTTAATAAATAGCTGAACGTCATGAGCTATATGACAAAAAGAGACCACAGCCAATATTTGGTCAACTTTGCATGAGGGAGCTGGAACCTAAGTTTTTAGAATATTTATAAATTCATCAACGGAGAAGTCAATAAGGTCTGCTGTAAATAATGTCCAAGTCGAAGCACTGATTAGCATGCACGGTCGTAAATTATTAAGTAAGACATATAATACTGCTGAGAAATGAGGAGTTTACAATTGGAAAGCTGATATTATCGTGTGTGTAATTGATTCTTGTTTGCATTCAACAATCTTTACCAATGTCAAGGAAAAGATAAATATGAGAAAAAGACCTTTTAGTTACGGTTGTCTCCTATAAGTTGCATTGTATTTACAAGTGATCATTGTCAATAATGATCTACAATCAGGATAAACCATCGCATTTCAGTTTTACCAACGCGATTTGGAGTCTTTTTTTTATTCAAATATATTCTAAAAGATTGAAGAACTAATGATTGTTTGTTGCTGTTAAACACCACTTTCGACACACTTAGCTATATCATGGCGTTTAGTTTTTATTAGCCGAAGTAGTCTGTATTAAAAAGTGTCATACATACATAGGTGATATATTACTAAGAAAGGATAAAAAGATACTTAGGAATACATCAATGCATTCACTGTGTCATCAATATCGCTTGACAAATAACACCAACGTGTTTAAGTTTACACCGAAACTTCAATACGTTTTGTCAAGAAAGCAGGCTTTTGTCGTTTTTATTTCACATTTATATACATGTAGGCTAATGTTCAGTAAGATGTCTTGCTCTTGTTGCATAACATTTTTCTAAATTTTGGTAGCTTAATTTCTCAAGTTCTCTGTTTAGTTTCCTTAAGCTACATAACAAGACACAATTTTCCTTTCCCATTATTTGTCAATTGTTTTTCCATCTCCTTCGACTTCTTTCTCATTTTTTCTAGATACATGAGATGATCAGAAAATACTTTATCCATTTTAGAATGTAACTCGTTTTCCTCTCTCTGTAATTGTTGTTGGATTGTCATATTTTGGAGATTTCCTTCGTCGTTCATTTTCTTCGAAATTGCTTTAAGTTGTTCGTCGATTGCTTTCATTTCCTTAGCTGCTGAGTTCATTTGATCATACAAGTCGGTGTTTTTCAATGCTAACATTCGCTGATTGTGTTTCGATTTAGTGTCTTTTACCAACCCTTGAAAATCTTCCTTAACCGCTTCATAAGCATCTTCTGCCTCTTTCTTCTCCCTTTCTTTCTCTTTTAACAGGTCATCGGCTTTGACAATTTCATTATAAAGGTATTCAATTTCTTCCGAATTTGGTCTAGGAGTATTGCTTTTATCTTCACCTTTTTTAAAAGACTTCATCCTTTTCTTCTGTTCCTCAAGCATGTATTTACGGTCTGCTTGCATGTTAAATTCTCCTTGTTTTTGTTTCTTTATTTCTCTATTTATGTCAACTTTTTTTCCGAGCACGTGTTCAATTTGCTCAATTTCTTTTAGGTTTTCTTTTTCTATTTTTATTCGTGATTCTCGAACCCTTTCTTTAGCGTCTTTAAACATATTGTTTGAAAAGCACACGTTCCGATTTTGTTTGACGACAGTGTCGATCAAATTCAGTAATTTATGAATCATTTCCCCTTTATTTTCCGGTGTAGCTGTATTGTTTATAGCGAAATAACGCCCGTGACATTTCTTTATGTACTCTGTTAATGGTGAGCCCGAACCTTTTATAAAATCTTCAATAGTACTATTTTGATTTTCCAGGGCATCCATTCCAGTAAATAGAATAATCGAAAAAGCTTCCATTTTCTTTCCAAATATGTCAAATAACTGGTCAAGGGATTCAATTTCTTCTTTAGTAAATCTACCAATCTGGAGTACAAGTAAAAATACATGTGGTCCTGGAAAAAGCATATGAACACAATTCAGGATATTTTCTTCAATTTCTATAGGTGATAATGTGGTATCGAACAATCCGGGAGTATCAACAACAATGATTTTGCGATCACCAATTTCGATTACACCACGTTGACATTCTTTAGTAACAGACATGCCTGCCATTTTCGATTCGAAGTATTTCTGTCCAAGTATAGCATTACCAGTTGCACTCTTACCCGATCCTGTTTTTCCAACCATTACAATTCTTAGTTGTTTGAAGATGTCTAAAATTTACAAATATTTGTCAATAAAAAGGTAATTTATGTCCTGATGATACGACTAGAGAGAACAACAGGACCTCCTCATTTGCAAAATAGGTAATAGTCAAAAGAAACCATTTATTTACGAAACATTAAACAGAGAATCCTAACATTAATGTTAAAGCAAAACTAAGTCCAACGGAAACCAGATATCATTTTCTTATACAAAAGAAGTGTGAGCAGTTATCTATTGCTTGCGTCCGTCTGTATGTCTAACATACACACCATAATCTCAAACAACTGCATGTGAGCAATCAATGAGTACATTATACAAGTTTGAAAACTACAGATTAGGATTTTATAAATCTAACATTTAATTTTTGCTCGTCATAACTTTTATCAACAGTTTTAAACTGTTTAGAAACCAAAAAAAAACTTCTGTTTGTGCAAAATTCGAAAATCAGTTAGCTTATCAATTATTTACTCAGGCATTCCTCATTTTAAACTTGGTTATAATGAAATAATTACAAATAGTCTAACTTCATTTTAATACGTATCTTGTTGTAGGAAGAGGCACGTTATTATATATAAGAAAAACACCTTTTTTATCCTGACAAAAATTTCTCAGCACTGACATCATCAAAAACTTTATTGACATATTTTTTACCTTTTGTTGTCTTAACTCTAACAACATGCACGAACGGATACGTATTAACCCTCTTAATGCTGAGTTGAAGCGCCAAAACTGTCCAGACGTTTTAATTTTTGACGTTGCAAAACTTGTGCTTTGAAGAAGTTATCGAAATTTGGCATGAAAATTACGCAAAACTTATGTCTATACAAGCTACGATGTACATGTACCATGTACATAAGTTAAATGGTAGTTTCATTCAGCTTCTCCCTGTGTCAATTTAATTTTATCCTTCAAAACATACATCTTTGAAAACCTGACTCTGTCTACCTTATTTCAGCCAACACTATCTCTGATTTATATTTTACATATACCTTAAATCCCCCTTTATCCACATGATGATATGTCAGTGTAATAACTTCATTAATGACATCTATGTGTCAAACGGTTTTAGAAAGTAGCATTAGTCTGTGTCAATTTTATAAATGCGAACCAATATAACAGATACATGTTGAGCTTATCTCTATAATAGTTGCATGCTTTTATTGATTATATAGAGATTTGTAACACTGGTTTCAAAACATACGTTATAGATTAAATCAGCTTTCAAAACGGAAGGGGCAGTGCATCTAGTTTGTTTTTGAATCTGAGAAAGGTTGAAAATACCATTCATAAAATTGAGAATGGAAATGGGGAATATGCCAAAGAGACAACAACCCGACCAAAGAGCAGACAAAAGCCGAAGGCCACCAATGGGTCTTCAACGCAGCAAGAAAATCCCGCACCCGGAGGTGGTCCTCAGCTGGCCCCTAAATAGAATTGTGTACTAGTTCAGTGAAAATGGACGTCACACTAAACTCCAAAACATATAAATGAACTAAAAGTAAAAAAACATACAAGACTAACAAAGGCCAGAGGCTCCTGACTTTGGACAGGCGAAAAAATGTGGTGGGATTAAACATGTTTTGTGAGATCTCAACCCTCCCCCTATACCTCTAGCCAATGTAGAATAAAGAAACACATAGCAATACGCACAGTAAAACTCAGTTTAAAAGACATGTATTCTTTAACGAACAAGGGATTTGAAAAAATACATATGAATTCTGCTTTGCTATTGCCTGTTTTCAAAAAGGAAAAAGAGTGATTGGATAAACATCAATAATATAACGTAACATTTGAATATATAAAATGTCGTATAAATGATCAATACTACCAGAACTGGTTTGCTATTTTGAACGATTGTGAAAAACTGTGTTTATATAGGAAATTGAAAAATGAGTTTTGTTTAGAAGATTACTTAAAATATGATTTTGATAGTAATATACTTACTAAACTACGTAGTGGAACATTAAAATTGAATATAGAAGTTGGTCGTTTTGACAATATTGTAAGAGAAAATCGTATACGTATATGCTGTCATATGAATTGTATTGAAAATGAGTACCATTTTGTTTTAGTATGTCCTGCCTTTAGATCATTGAGGCTACAGTTTTTACCAAAATTTTATTGTTCATAGCAAAATCATAGAAAGCTTGTAATTCTTTTACAGGCTAGCTCAAAAGAATTTAACTAAACAATTGTGTAAATTTCTTAATGCGGCATGGAAGTTAAGATTACAAATTATTATTGCATAACAGTTGTAGTTCTGTGCTTGTTATGACCTTATTGTGTTGTTCTCTGCATGTTTACTGTCAGTATTGTCATTATATATTATGTTATTTTGCTAAAGCATTATGTTTGCTTCTGCAAAAAAATATTCATTCATTCATTCATTCAATATAGTATTCCTTTTTCGTTGGATAGTGCTGTAAATTACGAATTTTTAAATTCTGTATTGAAGCCTTCGATGATGCGAGATCTTATATGATAGGTTGATAAAAATAGAAATTAGGATAGGAATACCGCATTGTGGTTATGACAAATAAAATATATCTATAAAAATTATTGATTCTGAAAAATATTATTGTAGAATATGGCGTATTTCATTAGTAACAAGTAGTTGTGATATGTAAAATGTTTTTTTTTTTGGCAAATGATCTTGTCAATGATGTAAACATATATTAAGTGGATAGTAATGATTTCTATAAAAACCCTATGCTGATGAATACTATTTGTCAGTCAAACCTTATGAAGGTCACTTCAATTAATAAATACATGTGTTTTCAGATAACCCTCATCTTCTCCCGCTGTAGTAATACATATACATTTTGGACCTAGATTCAACGGTCACCTATCTTGTAATGGCAGTTTAATTTTCTACGGTTCAAACGATAAACTTTCTTTACAGATTTGGCTATATAGTTGTCGGTACTTGTCACATTTTTAAGAATTTAAAAAGAGATTCCAGAAAATAGTTAAGGGACTAATGTTGTATTGATATTTGTATTTGTATTTTTCACTGTACTGTATTGTATCTAATTCAACTCATACTCTCACCTATATCTTCATAAATAGGTTCTTCGTCAGGCTTTTTTTCAAAAATGTCTTTTGATACATTGATATAGTCTGAAATAATATAATACTGTAAACAAATGTGTAGAAATAAACGCAGTACAACAAAGGATGACGTTGATCATGTCATGCAAACTAAGATGAAAATTGGCATTGGGTGGGTATGTTTTCAAAGCGGAGAAAGGAAGGTATTGTGAAAGATATTGTTTTGATTGTAGATCTTTATAATTTTTCTGTGTAAAATTAAAATAACAAAAATTCAAATCGGAAAGTCCCTTATCAAGTGGCAAAATTAAAAACTCAAACACATCAAACGAATGGAAAACAACTCTCATATTCCTGACTTGGTACCGGTATTTCCTTATGTAGAAAATGGTGGATTAAACCTGGTTTTATAGCTAGCTAAATCTCTCACTTGTATGACAGTCGCATAAAATTCCATTATATTGAAATATATACACAACTTGTATATAGTTCAATTGATGGATTGGGTGTTGAGGTTTAACAATTCCTTTAACACAATTGGTAATAAAGATTATATTTCATTGGTGGAGCAAATTGGTGTGCACAACGAGAACCACATAGTTTTGGCAGAAAAACTTACAATCCTAGTCAATTTAGATCGTAGTCCAACGTACCATACAGAATATGAATTCAAACTCCCATTCTAAGTTTGTATTTGGCAGTGATTACCTTACATGATTCTTAGACCACTCGGCCACCGAAACTCTTCGTGATGTTTAAGGTGTTGACATCTTGCGAAGACGCACATCTAATTTTGAAAAATTTATTTTCCTTGTAGATGTCACTAGCTTATTTTTGGCGCCGAGTTGTTGTTACATAGGTATATATACATCTCCCTTCTATATATGCGACATGCCATCGGTAATAAATATATCTAAATCGAGCCATGATGGCATTTGTAAAACTTTAAGAGAGATCTCTACAACCTAACCATATACAAATGCTTTGTAAGCAGTAAATACTAATGTTAAATAATAGATCTAACTTGATAAAAATATAATAATATACCCCTTTTCAAGAGTTAGGTGCATTACAATTACTGTAGTTTTCATGAATCATCTGCAAATGGTAAAATAATTTCAAATAATGTTTCAATTATTTCTGAAAGCAACATTGAAAGAAACAAAAGCTCTGTCTGTACTTCATGTACTTGGATTCATTCCTACTTTGTTATTTTTTTCCCCATATATCTCTCAAAAAGGAAGCTGGAATACGGAGTTAACGGTTTTGCTCATTATTTTTTATAGTGTTGGCATTCCACTTATTCATTCTTTTCAATTTTCTTTTAAATATTCTTTAACTTGTACCTTCATTAATCTTAGGATTTAAATCCGCGTAATCGTATGTTTCGAAATCTGAAAAAAAAATCATTAATGTAGAAAATTGAAGATTAGAAAGGTTTAAGGTAATAAAGTTATAAATTTCCAAAGAACTTATTTTGCGAAAAAAGAGATTTTTTTCCCTCGAGAAGTCGCATCACAAAAGGCTTTCCAGGTTGTGCTGAATTATGGAAAAATGAATCTCACTTCGTACCCTGCAAATTTAACCACATATGTGCACATGTCTCAGCTTCGAGACGAGCCATCGTACATGTTCAAGTGTACGATATAGACAGATAAATGGAGGACAAGGCTACCATAATCACCTACCTGAAATGAATTGCGCATCGTTACCCAGGAGCTGTTTATCCTTCTGCAGTACCCTAGATAGCCACCGCTGTTTGGTGGGTTTCGCATTTTTTTTTCTTTGTACTATTTTCTTGACTGCTGTCTGTCTTCTTGTTTTTCTTTTAGGTCATTGTGTTTTATCTTTCCTTCATTAACTATTTATTTAATCCCCATTTGATATCATGGTATTTATACACAACTGGTTCGTACTTTAATTAATTTATTGATTGTTGGTGTTTTTATTGGTGGAGAAAGCCGGTGTACCCGGCGAAAACCACAGCCCTACGACAGAAAAACGTACGAACTAAGTCATTTAAGATCAGAGTCAAACGCATATTGCCGAAGAGGCGTACAAACTCACAACATCAGTGTTGACTGGTTATTGATCACTGTAGAAACTACTTAGACCACTCAGTTACCAAGGCCCTTCAGGATTATTGAGATGTTGATATATTTCATAGACGCACATCTTATTTAAAAAAACAAATGTATGTTGCACTCCAGATATGGTTTTTTGGTCACGAGATGTTGTGTCATACGCCAGTTCCGAGATAGGTAGTTAGTTATATCTGTCATGTGACTTTCATAACCACGTGACAAAAATGTAGGCATCGTCACTTATAACACATGTTGAGCGAATGGGTGAACAGTTTGACGCTATGCTGCCCGAAATATTCGGGAAATTGTAATCTTATTAGTTGGTCACCCTCACTTTATGCGTATGGGATTCCGTAACTAAGGAACATAAATTATTTCTAGATTACCCTGCAGAATGTCGATCCTGAAGTTGCTTGAAACTTTAATAGCTGCAGGGATACAGGCGCGCCTTCTATCTGGTAAATTACGTCATAAGAGAGTGCGTAAATGTCGATCTTTTCCGGTTAAAGACATGATTCGAAAAATAGCCTATTGATGTATAAACATCTTTCATATATCATTGGTAAACGGTGATGATGACACTTGTAAAAAAAGGAGCCACATCTTCAATCTAACTATTTACAAACGCTTGTCCTCAGTTAAAAGCAGTGCATACAAATGATTTATAATAAATTTAACTGAATGAAACAGTACACCCTTTTTCATGAGTTAGATATTTAAATGAAGTTTTGAGGAATCCTCTTTTTACGGTGAAATCATTTGAATAATTGATACCAATTATTAGTTAACGCAACATTTAAAGGAACAAAAACTCTTTCTATACTTTTATTTGTTCGTTCCTACGCTGTTAAAGTTATATAAATATCTAAAAACAGGCATACTGGTGAAATTTCACTAATTCGTTATTGTTGCGCATTGTTTGAAGTAAACTATAACTGTTACCTTCGTAAAGCTCCTCGAAATCGAAATCCGATGATTTATCTAACTGTTTATCATGCGAACCAGTTGTGTCTGAAAAAATAATCTTTAATATAGAAAAGTAAGGTAGATGATAGAAAGTGTTAAAGGTTATAAACATACACACAAATTAATAACATAAGCAACACGACGGGTGCCACATGTGAAGCAGGATCTGCTAACCCTTTCGGAGCACCTGAGATCACCCCCAGTTTTTGGTGGGGTTCGTGTTGCTTAGTCTTTAGTTTTCTATGTTGTGTCATCTGTACTATTATTTGTCTGTTTGTCTATTTAGTTTTGTCCATGGCGTTGTCAGTTTGATTTCGATCTATGAGTTTGACTGTCCCTCTGGTATCTTTCGTCCCTCTTTAATAAACCACAGCGACACGATGATATACCGTCTATAACACTGCAATTACACAAACAAAATTCCTAGTCGGGATGACTGGTGGAATGCTTAAAATGCCATTAAAAAGGGTTTTCTTGTCAAAGGGACAGCAATTTTGCCTTGCAACAGACCACCTTCAAAATGCTTAACGATTTGTTGGAAAAAAACTTGAACGTACAGATAAAGGTCCACTCTTTCAGATGAAACACCATGAGTTGCACTTTACAAGAAACTCCCATTCTTAGTTTTTATATGGCAGTGATTAAATTACTTGCTTCTTAGACCACTCGGCCACCGAGGCTTTTCGAGATGATTAAGGTGTAGACATTATACGAAGACGAACGTCTACTTTTGAAAAGTGTATTTTCCCTGTAGATGTCGCTTGCTTATTTTTGGGCCCGAGTTGTTGTCACATAGGTATATACACATCTCCCTTATATATATATATATATATTATTAAGTGCCTATAAATAGCAGCACATGACATACAAATCTATGGGAGTGTGGATTAATCAGTACAGAGATTAATTCAATTACACAAATAAAATTATAGATTGCCTAACAATGTAATTTTAACACACTATTTAGTATGTAAATATAAGAATGTTTAAAATATTTACAAAATGATGAAAATAAACGCAATATTTCGCTAGACTAACTAGCTTTATCAAGCGTGCATCTATCCAGGTGAAATAGGATGTAGATGATAAGAAACTTTTGCAGCTCAATGTATATGTTGCACTTGAATTTAGCTGCCTTGAAAATAATACATAATTTGGATGAAGTTCAAGATTTTTACAAAATTGATAGTTGAAGTTATCAACGTCCATTGGCCAATATTACAGGATAAAAAAAGGACGATGCTGTGTACTAAATTATTCTTTATCTTTCCTGTATCTTTTCTCATCTTTTTCGTTAAGACCATCAGGTTCTAAAGTGTGGAGTTGGTGGATCCAAAAATTTTCTCTTCTCCTTCTCGCCGTGGTGTCCCACTCGGTGTTGACTTCTATGATTTGGAAGGTAACATTATCAAAAGAATGTTTCGTTGAACGAAGATGTCTTGTGAGAGGACAGTTTTTGTTGGTTTTGTACCATGAACGATGGTTATTGAGCCGAATATTAAATTTGTCCATTGTTTCTCCCACATACTGAATGCCACATGTGTCACATGTTAATATATAAATTGAGTTCTCCGTTTTACAGTTGGAATTTGAGTAGATGGTATAATTTTGTTTAGTAACGGAGCTGATGAAAGAACTGCTTGTATTGGCAGCTTTACAACACAAGCAGTTCCTTCGACCACATTGTTTGTAGCAACCGGGAGATGGAGTAGGCTGCTTTGCTAATACAGATGTCACTAATTTGTCACGGATGTTTTTAGGTCTTCTGAAGGCCATGACTGGTGGTGAGGAAAATACTTTTTTAAGATTTACGAGTTACATCAAGAACGGAACCATTATAACGGACCTTCATACCAAACAAACGGACAAACATCAATTCCTTTCTCCTAAAAGTTGCCATCCTAAACACTGCTCCCGTGGCATCCCATTCAGCCAGGCATTGCGAATCAAGAGAATATGCTCTACTGAAAATACGCAAAATGCTAGACTTGGACAACTACGTAAACATCTAGTTATTCGAGGATACAATAACAACATCATTGATAGCGCTTTCGAAAGAGCAAACAAAACTAGTCGCCAAGAACTTCTAGAGTACAAAGATAAGAATAAAGCAGCTAACAGAACACCCCTTGTACTCACTTACCATCCTGATTTTAAAAATGTGTCTTCCATTGTTCAGAAGCATTGGAAAATTATAGAAAATGATTCAAATCTTAAAAAAGTATTTTCCTCACCACCAGTCATGGCCTTCAGAAGACCTAAAAACATCCGTGACAAATTAGTGACATCTGTATTAGCAAAGCAGCCTACTCCATCTCCCGGTTGCTACAAACAATGTGGTCGAAGGAACTGCTTGTGTTGTAAAGCTGCCAATACAAGCAGTTCTTTCATCAGCTCCGTTACTAAACAAAATTATACCATCTACTCAAATTCTAACTGTAAAACGGAGAACTCAATTTATATATTAACATGTGACACATGTGGCATTCAGTATGTGGGAGAAACAATGGACAAATTTAATATTCGGCTCAATAACCATCGTTCATGGTACAAAACCAACAAAAACTGTCCTCTCACAAGACATCTTCGTTCAACGAAACATTCTTTTGATAATGTTACCTTCCAAATCATAGAAGTCAACACCGAGTGGGACACCACGGCGAGAAGGAGAAGAGAAAATTTTTGGATCCACCAACTCCACACTTTAGAACCTGATGGTCTTAACGAAAAAGATGAGAAAAGATACAGGAAAGATAAATATAATTTAGTACACAGCATCGTCCTTTTTATCCTGTAATATTGGCCAATGGACGTTGATAACTTCAACTACCAATTTTGTAAAAATCTTGAACTTCATCCAAATTATGTATTATTTTCAAGGCAGCTAAATTCAAGTGCAACATATACATTGAGCTGCAAAGGTTTCTTATCATCTACATCCTATTTCACCTGGATAGATGCACGCTTGATAAAGCTAGTTAGTCTAGCGAAATATTGCGTTTATTTTCATCATTTTGTAAATATTTTAAACATTCTTATATTTACATACTAAATAGTGTGTTAAAATTACATTGTTAGGCAATCTATATATATATATATATATAGAAGTCTATAAAAAGGACCAACCAGCAAATTTACTATGTACCGGATCGTCTAGAATAGACGATACTGTGCAGATAAGGAAAAAATTATATAAGTCTAGAGATTTGCACAACGATACTAATATAAGATGGTATTATACGAAGATGTTGTTAATAAATCGTGTTGACAAATATTTCGGCTTAACAAATAACCTTCTTCGGTGTCAATTATTTTAACAATACTGATAATATGTATAAAAATAGCTCAATAATACAGGTAAGTTTTGGTCTATTGATTTAATCCAAAATCCTGAACATCATAATATAAAACAAAACTCAATACTCAAATATACGTGACTGTGTATATTTACAACCCAAAATGAGTGAAAAATAAAACTTAATATTTTTTATTGATGCCGTTTGGATGATGTACATTTAGTTCCTTTATCCAAAAGCTTTCCCGAACCTGTCGCTGGGCATCACTCCAGTGAATGTTCTGTTCAATCACTAGGATCTTCATGCGGTTAAAGTCATCAAGTGTGTGACCAGACTGTCTGAAATGCTGAGAAACTGGGAGAAGTGGCTTCTTAGAGATATCACTCCTATGGCCATTGAGGCGTTTGTGGAAAGGCTGCTTTGACTCACCAACATATTGGAGGCCACAAACCGAACATTCTAGAATGTAAATAACATTCATACTTTTGCAGTTAACATTGCAAAATATCTTATAGTTATTTTCGGTTGCCTTACTGTGAAAAGTTGATGAGTGATGCATCTGTAGGCAGCATTTGCAGCGTTTTTCATCACACGAACGACATTCTCCAGAAGTACTTCTATTATCAGACACTTCAGCCCGCACTAGCAGGTTACGCAGACTATTGGGTTGCCTAAAAGCTATCATGGGAGGCTCGGGAAAAATCTTGGATAGTTTGGAATTCTTTTCAACTGTTTTCCAATGCTCACGAATGACACCGAAGCTGTTTTTGAGAGATGGGTGGTAAGTAAGAACACATGGAGTCCTTTTATTTTTCTTTTTATATTTGTATTCTAACAGTTTACTCCTTGGAATAGTTTCCGCTTTCTGAAAGCCTTTTTGGATAGTTTTGTGTTTGTAGCCCCTTCTCTTCAAGCGGGTTTCGAGTTGACGTAGTTGTTTTTTAGTTGTTTCTGAGTTGGAACATATTCGCTTGACTCTGAGTGCCTGACTGTACGGGATGCTCTTAGTACAATGAGCAGGATGGCAACTTTTAGGGGACAGATATTGGTGAGTGTCAGTAGGCTTAGAATATAGATCAGTGGATATGATGCCATCTGTGAGCGAGCTGGAGGTATCGAGGAAGGTGATTTTGGATTTAGATTTCTCATGAGTAAATTTGATACTTGGGTGTATGTTGTTGGCATGAGTGATGAATGTATCTAAATCCTCGTCACTTTTATTCCATTTCATATCCACATCATCTATAAATCTAAACCAGGAAAGCGGTTTTTCGATGGAAGATTCAAGGAGTTGTTTTTCTAATTTGCCCATAAATATGTTGGCATATGATGGAGCCATTTTGGTGCCCATAGCAGTTCCATTAACTTGCAGATAATGGTCTCCATCAAAAGTGAAGTTGTTGTTTTTGAGTACCAGCGTGAGCATTTTGACCAGGCATTCAGTAGGTGGATATTTCACTGGTCGGGAATTCCAAACTTCTTTACATGCATCAATGCCATCTGCATGTGGAATATTCGTGTAGAGGGAGGTGACGTCCATAGAGACAAGTGTCGTGTCGGAGGGGAGTGGATTTAAGGCCTGCAATTTTCTAAGATAATCGGTAGTATCTTTGATGTGAGATGGTAAGTCCTCAACATGTTGACGAAGATGGAAGTCAATGAATTCCGATATTTTTTCCGTCGGATGACCGTTCGCTGAAACTATAGGTCTTCCTGGGTTGTTGGCCTTATGAATTTTAGGTAAAAGATAAAATCTGCCCGGTTTTGGATTTTCTGGTTTCAAATATTCTAGAGTCTTTTCATCGATGAAACCATCGTTGTGCATTTCTACCAAACTATCAGTTATTTCTCTGCTAAAAGATGTTGTAGGATCAGAAGTGTCTGATAATAGAAGTACTTCTGGAGAATGTCGTTCGTGTGATGAAAAACGCTGCAAATGCTGCCTACAGATGCATCACTCATCAACTTTTCACAGTAAGGCAACCGAAAATAACTATAAGATATTTTGCAATGTTAACTGCAAAAGTATGAATGTTATTTACATTCTAGAATGTTCGGTTTGTGGCCTCCAATATGTTGGTGAGTCAAAGCAGCCTTTCCACAAACGCCTCAATGGCCATAGGAGTGATATCTCTAAGAAGCCACTTCTCCCAGTTTCTCAGCATTTCAGACAGTCTGGTCACACACTTGATGACTTTAACCGCATGAAGATCCTAGTGATTGAACAGAACATTCACTGGAGTGATGCCCAGCGACAGGTTCGGGAAAGCTTTTGGATAAAGGAACTAAATGTACATCATCCAAACGGCATCAATAAAAAATATTAAGTTTTATTTTTCACTCATTTTGGGTTGTAAATATACACAGTCACGTATATTTGAGTATTGAGTTTTGTTTTATATTATGATGTTCAGGATTTTGGATTAAATCAATAGACCAAAACTTACCTGTATTATTGAGCTATTTTTATACATATTATCAGTATTGTTAAAATAATTGACACCGAAGAAGGCTATTTGTTAAGCCGAAATATTTGTCAACACGATTTATTAACAACATCTTCGTATAATACCATCTTATATTAGTATCGTTGTGCAAATCTCTAGACTTATATATATATATATATATATATATATATATATATAAGAAAAATAATATAAGATGATGACGGTTTCAATTCGTCACTTTTACTAGCGCTTTCACTGCTTTCACAGATCTTCAGGTAATGTGACTTGTATACATAAATGTTATAAAACAATTGATTGACGTTAACAATAGTATGACGTTAACAAATACAAGGGAGACTACTAATGTCATTTTAAAATTGGAGTATTATGTGCAAATTGTGAGGAATTCTATATTGGAGAGACAAAAACAGAACTGCGGATTAGAATGACTGTACATAGACAGCAAACCAACCATGAAGATTTAACAATCATCAGGGCTAACGACCATTTCCATTGTTGTTCTAATGGACGATTTAAAATATTTCCGTTGTTTATGGTCAATCGTCAAAATGATTTTCTCCGGAAGAAGAAAGAAGAATTATTCATAAACATTCTCAACCCGGGATTAAATGATAAATAATATTTTAATTTTTAAGAAACATTTTAAAGACTTTACTCCAATTTTAAAATGACATTAGTAGTCTCCCTTGTATTTGTTAACGTCATACTATTGTTAACGTCAATCAATTGTTTTATAACATTTATGTATAAAAGTCACATTACCTGAAGATCTGTGAAAGCAGTGAAAGCGCTTGTAAAAGTGACGAATTGAAACCGTCATTATCTTATATTATTTTTCTTATATTTTACCAGCATACGGATTCTATTTGACTTTTCTTTATATACATATACATATATATATATATATATATATATATATATATATATATGACAGGTCATCAGTGATAAAAATATTTCAATCGAGCCATGATGGCATTTGTAAAACTTTAAGAGCGATCTCTACAACATAACCATTAACAAAATGCTTTGTAAGCAGTGTATGCTAATGATTTATCATATATCTAACTTGGAAAATATAAGAGTTTTCATAAATCATCTTCAAATGGTGAAAACATTTCAAATATTGTCTCAATTATATCTGAAAGCAACATTTATCTAAAGAAACAACAGCTCTGTCTGTACTTCATGTACTTTGATTCATTCCTATTATGTTATGTTTTCATATATCTCTCAAAAAGGAAGTTGCAATACAGAATTAACGGTTTTGCTTATTCTTTTTCATACTTGTGGCTTTCATCTTATTCATTCTTTTTCATTTTTTTTTTTTTTTTTGAAATATGCTATAACTTGTACCTTTATTAATCTTGGGATTAAAATCCGCGTAATCGTAATTGTAATCCGATGGTTTTACAGACTGTTTATCATATGATGTCGGATCTGAAAAAAAATCATTAATATAGAAAATGGAAGATTGGAGAGGTTTAGGGTTAATAACACACTAGATGATAAAAGTACAACGACATAATTTGATACTAGAAGCGGAGAAGCGTCTATAACCTTGTAATGTTGTTACTTAATACAATTGAGTTGCTCGTTTAGTTAAATGGTGATATTAAAACATGTAAAACGACATAAAAACAAGTGGTATTTTAAAAGAAAGAGTAAATTGTCTTGCAACAGGCCACCTTTAATCTGTTTAATTATTTTTTGGAAGAAAACTTGAACATAAAGGTGAGGGTTAATTCTTTCAGACGAAACATCAAGAGTTGCACTTTAAAAATGTACGAACTAAGTCATTTTATATCAGAGTCAAACGCATATTGCCGAAGTGGGACACAATCTCACATCAGTGTTGACTTGCTTGTGGTCACTTTAGAAACTACTTAGACCACTCGGCCACCGAGTCCCTTCGGAATTATTGAGATGTTGAAATATTGCACAGTCGCACGTCTTATTTGAAAAAAATGTGTATGTTGCACTCCAGATATCCTTTTTTGGCCATGAGTTATTGTCTCATTGATGCAGAAATACATCGTCTTTCATAAATCACTGATCACCGGTGATAATATTTGTAAAATTTTAAGAACCATCTCTTTAATTTTACTATTTACAAACGCTGGTCCTCAGTCTATATATAAGCAGTACATACAAATGAGTTATAAAACAGTACACCTTTTTTCACGAGTTAGATGTTTAACCATGTTAACTGAAGATTTGAAAAATCCTCTTCTTACGATGAAATCATTTGAATAATTGATAGCAATTATTGGTGAACGCAACATTTAAATGAACAAAAAACTCTTTCTATATATTATTTGTTCGTTCCTACGCTATTAAAGCTATAAAATTATCTAAAAGCAGGCATACTGGTGAGATTTCACTAACTCTTAATTATTTGCGTATTGCTTTATATAAACTATAACTCATACCTTCGTAAACCTTCCCGAAAACGTAATCCGATGATTTATCTAACTGTTTATCTTGCGAACCAGTTGTGTCTGAAAAAAATAATCTTTAATATAGAAAAGTAAGGTAGATGATAGAAAATATGTGGTGTTAAAGGTTGTAGACATAAAATTAATAAAACACAACGACTCGATGCAATACCGTCTACAACACTACAAATACTCGACATAACACAAACAAAATTCCTAGTCGGGATTAATGGTGAATGCTTAAAATGCCATTAAAAAGAGGTTTTTTTTTTAAAGGGCAGCAATTTTTGCCTTGCAACAGACCACCTTCAAAATCCTTAGCGATTTGTTGGAAGTAAACTTGAACGTACAGATAAGTGTCCACTCTTTCAGATGAAACACCTTGGGTTTCACTTTGAAATTTACGGAAGCAATGTTTGCTAGTGGTAAAGTTGAATGCATTCAGTTTGGTAGATGCCATCATGATTTGGTTGTCCAACATGGTATATGTGTACCTCAAATGAATACAGACATCTCGCATAGCCTTTCTTATTTTAAATTTTGACATCACCGAATATGACATATCTCAGAATTTTTTCGTGACATTACAATCATGATAGGTATTGGTATCGTCACTTGTAAACCAAATGTAAACTGAAATGTCATGTTGATCTTTAAAGCTGTTAAAAGATTAAAAAAAGAATTACTAACTCTTGTTCTTCGAACGTATTAAGTACGGTTTCAGTACTGTTCAGACAATTCACTTGTAGTCAATCAAGATATGATCAGTCTGTATTCGGACAATTATCTGGAAAACTACTGAACAGTTTGATTGCAATGCAAATGTCGGAACAACGCTGACTTTAAAGTAAAAAATATAAAAAAAAAATAAAAAAATACTTAAACTCATAAAAGACTTGACAGCAGGAAAACCTACAATCTAAGTGAATTAAGATTGGAGTCGAACGCACATTGCCGAAGCGTAAATTGCTAGTTATCACTATACGAGATGATTGAGATGTTGTCAAATTCCATAAACGCACTTCCACCGAAAAAAAAACTACTATCTAAAGCTTAATTCGCATCTATGGAAGATATATTAACGACGTGTTACATGCCGCTACATAATTAAGAGAAAAATTATTATGTTCAAAACCGGGGATATTTTTGAAGTGAACGCAAAAATGAATTGTTAATCCCAGAACTTGATTTACTTGTCTAACATAGAAAACTACATTGGACAAACTTGTGATACACTATTCAGCCGTGTAAGAGTACAATTTTATAGTGTGTCTTTCTATGTTGTGATGTTACACTATTGTTGCAGGTAGGATGAAGGTTGGCGCCTATTTAAACGTTTAAACCCGCTGCATTTGTTTGCACCTGTCCTAAGGTAGGAACTTGATGTTCAGTGGTTGCCGTTTGTTGATGTGGTTCATAAGTGTTTTTCGTTTCTCGGTTTTTTATATAGATTAGACCGTTGGTTTTCCTGTTTGAATTGTTTTACACTATATGTCTAGTCATTTATGGTGCCCTTTTTAGCTTGCTGTTAGGTGTGAGCCAAGGCTACGTGTTGAAGGCCGTACTTTGACTTAAATTGATTTACTTTTACAAATTGTGACTTGGATGGAGAGTTGTCTCATTGGCACTCATACCACATCTTCTTATATCTAAAAACAATATCTCAAGACCCGTCCTTACGAAACACGCCATGAGTGAACATTTTGAAATAAGTATAAACCAAATTTAAACTGAGAGTTAAAATAGACAGCTGCCTGATTATTGTTATGTTGCTGGATAACAACGTTCATTTACTGTCTGAAGAACTAAATAAACGAACGAATGCGCTAATAGGGAAATAACAATGTTATTTGTTTGTGTTATTCCGTTTTTATTTTTAAATATTTATTACTGTACCGAGTACTTTAATTTTATTTCCATCTGAATATGTGACAAATTTACGACAAACGTTCTCCATCGGATAACCTGTACTTATACACGGCTAACACCATAATTTTTACATACTTTGTCTCAAATTTAGCCAAAAAAAGTTAGATCTGTAAATTTGCGTAATCAAATTTTTGTTCTTCCCTTAGCGGGATTCGAACCCCTGCATCTGAGACATCGTGGCAACACCGCCAGCACTGTTAATGTCTTTCCTCGTTGGCTTTATCTAGGGTTGTAACACAGTACAGTGTCTGTCGTAAAGGATCATAATTTTACTACTATCTTCTTTTTTTTTATATAAATCACTGATCGTCGGTGATATATTTATTTCAATGGACCAACGGTATTTGTAAATATAGAACGATATCTTCAACCTCTTATATTTACAAATGCTGGTCCTCTGTCCTTTTTTTAAAAAGTGCATACTCATGTTCTATATTAGATTTAAGTTGAAAAATATACTCCTTTTTAGGAGTTAGATGTTTAATTGTAGTTTCAGGAATCATCTTTATTTTAAAATTTTCAGCACAATAGTACATATGACTAATATGACACCTCTAGGGTCCTGCGAGTCCTCTATATACCTAGCAAATGATATAAAGTGTGGTAATTTGTTTAATACCTACGCACGAATGCCTTTTTACCAGTCAATACATTGATTATGACTGGGAATAGTATACTGACAATATATCATGTCCCAGTCAACGATTATGGTAAACAAGAAGGAATTGAAAACATATTTTCATCCATCCGGAACTGTTACGGTCTAATACATATATTTTTTATCCAGTTTCAACTTGAAAAATGTTGTATTTTATATGTAGTTTCAGAGACGATCTGAGAATGTCTACTTCAGTTATTGCGGAGTCCGTAATTCTCATTTGTCTCTAGTTTCAGATTGGAGTTGTTCTTTGTTTTTATTGTGTCCCATGGTATGGTAAGTTTATGTCTCTTATGATCCATCTTTCGGGACTGACGCTTCATTTTTCGGACTTTTCATCACGGACCAGTTTGACCTACAGTGTTAAAATGGCGCTTTTGATTTATTGATTGATTGATTGTTGGTTGCTTAACGTTCAGTGGCAAATATTTCATGCATGTTCAGGACGACGCTTATGATTTAAACGTCAGTGTTGCATGTTTAGTTCTTAACATGTTTAGGATTTTGTTTAAATTCTATGCGGATGGCACCTTAAACTTATATTTGATCATTGCACGTTTAGATTCTAAACATGTTATGCATATTGTGTTTAGATCCTAAATATGTAATGTCTATTGTGTTTAGAACCTTAACCTGTAATGTTTATTGTGCTAAGATTCTAAACGTGTTATGTATATTTTGCTGAGGATTTTGACCCATAATGCATCTGCTAATAAATACAATTTGAAATCAAACAAGGGAAAAATGAGTTCCTGTTGCCAAATATTGATGCCGATACCAATGTGATTCATTCTTTACTTCAAAAGTAAACTGACAGTTTGCATCTGCTTCGTGCGTTAAATACAATTTGTTTTCTTTGTTGTATAAAAAAGAGTGATAAAATTTAGGTCGTCATATCATGTAGACAATTGCCGCCAACTACGCGGCGAGTGCATTAAAAAGCCCACACGATCGACGCCACCTCTGAAGTCATTTACAGACCACGCATGGAGCCCCAGAAAAAATTTACTCCAGCCACAGATACCTACATTGCATTATTACGCAGGTAATTGTAGACAATATGATTCATATACGATTCATACTAGGACACAAGAATGATGCTCAACAATTTAATTAATTGCCTTCAATTTGGAAAGGTTTGGAATGAGATTTCCCCTAGGATTTTGTCATTTTAGGTGATAAAAATTACCCATCTCGTTGTCCGATCGTTACATCATAAAGGCGTCAAAACAAAGAACAGGAAAGGGAACTAAAAAAAATGAACTTGCGATTATCGGAGTGTCGGAAATATGTGGAACTGTAATAACAAAAAATCAAATTGGCCTATCCTTATGTAAATTTGTTCGAACTAATAGTGCATACTTGCATTACCATCGACATCTCCCCTTTTCCGCACACACGTTTATACATGTATGTGAGTTTCCATCTTATAACACTAGCAATAAAATCAGAAAAAAATGAAAATGTTCGATATATTTCACTAAGACGTTCAACATTAATACAGTTCACCTGAACCAAGATATGATTAGGATACATTTACAACCACACTATAAGGGAACGGTGAATGTTTTATGTCTGACCAAAAGACAATACCAATATAAATTATCATTGATATGGTAATATTATTAAATCAACTGTTTACAAAACTTTGAATTATTTGAAATACTAAGGATTTTGATTTACCCCAGGAATAGATTATCTTATCTGTATTTGGCAAAAACCTTTCTGAGTTTTTGGTTCTCAATGCTCTTCGGCTTTTGTAAATTATTTGACTATCAACTTTTTTTATTCGAGCGTCACTGGTGAGTCTCTTGTGAACGAAACGTAAATACAATTTTGAATGCTATCAATGTCAACAATATTTTCAACAACAATCTTTAGGAACTACCACTAGCGCATTGCCGAAAATAAGCAAGGGAGGGTCAATATAAATCTACTGGACAAAAATTAGCACCGATACAAATGCATTAACCTAAAATATTTAACATAATATCTTACATACTTTTAGCAATCACATATTTACTGTAGTTGCGTTCCGCAAGTGGTGGCGGTACATCTCCTAAAACAACATGGAGTTTTTTTACCACATGAGAAAAAATATATATGTTGATACACATAAATTGAAAGTAATCTTGCATGTTTGGTGCTTTTTCCGTAGACGCCTATGGAAATTTCAGTGTTAAAGTATACATTTAACGTACACTTTTTATTCATTAGTACCTTTTACAAGCATTTAAATTCAGTAGCGTATTGAAAAGCCCAACATATACGTATACTTTTTTGGCTATTGTTTGATTTGTGTGGAATGTAATAATTGAATTCCAATGACATATTTAAATGGATATGATATTAAAGTTTTACACGTATTTTCAACCTATTGTTTTTTTCTTTCAATAATTATTTTGCAAGTTAATACTTGTTGATCCTTTTCACCTGTGTTGTTGTTATTTTACAAGGAACACAAGTCAAGTTTTCAAACAGTATAAACCTTTTATATGGCTTTTAAATATATGAATTAGTAATAATTCTGCTAAATTTAATAGTTCCTTTCTTCTGGGTTACATTTGAACACTTGAAATCCATATCAATTAAGAGGTTGAAGAGCATCTTGAATTAGAGGAAATGTCCGTATCCATGACATTTCATTTCTGATGAGAAGTGCTGACAATAGACCTGTTGCACTAGTAGTGATGTTGATAACCACGTAATAAGAGTGAACAACGCAGTTTCTATATTGATATGCAGGCTTTTTATCTTGCGCAAACGTCCGAAATTTGTATTGTTATTTTTATGAGAACGCAAATACTATTTTGAATGCTATCAATGTCAACAATATTTTCAACAACAATCTTTTGGAACTACCACAAGCGCATTGCCGAACATAAGTAAGGGAGGGTCAATATAAATCTACAGGACAAATATTAGCACCGATACAAATACATTAATCTAAAATATTTAACATAATATCTTACATACTTTTAGAAATCACATATTTACTATAGTTGCGTTCCGGAAGTGGTGGCGGTACATCACCTTAAACAACATGGATTTGTTTTACCACATGAGAAAAAAAATATAAATAAAAGTTGATATACATATATTGAAAGTAATTTTGCATGTTTGGTACTTTTTCCGTAGACGCCTAAGGTAATTTCAGGAAAATAACGCGTGTTAAAGTATACATTTAACGTACACTTTATATTGTTCAGTACCTTTTACGAGAATTTTGAAATTTTGTAGCGTATTGAAAATCTCAACATATATGTATATTGTTTTTGCTATTGTTTGATTTGTGTTGAATGTAATAATTTTTATCTTACGCAAACGTACGAAATTTGTATTGTGTTCTTTATAAGAACTACACATTACCAATAGAATAAACACATGTTTAAATTTATCAAACTTTTCAATGGAATGTGGTAATGCAACATTATATATTAATATTGGTTTTTAATTGGTCAAGTAGTCAGTATTCAATATATGTACATTAAATATTCGTGAAAAATCAAATTCAAAAGCCTTTTTATTAAGACGCTCAAAACGCCACAAAGAACAATAGTTACTGTGTTGCTATGTCTGAACATAGTTATTGTCTAAACTTATATTCTAAACATGTACTGCATATTGTGTTTATATCCTAAACATGTATTGACTATTGTGTTTAGAACTTAAACGTGTAATGTCTATTGTCCTTATTTCCTAAATGTGTAGTATCTATTTTGCTGGGGATTTTTACTCATAATTCATCTTATAAATAATATTTGAAAGGGAAGATTAGTTCCTGTTACCAAAAATTGAAGCCGATACCAATGTGATTGATTCGGTTTACCTCAAAAATTAAAGTGACAGTGCAACTACCTTCGTGCGTTAAATGCAATTTGTTTTCTTCGTTGAAAAAAATCGGATCAATAAAATATAGGTCGTCATATTTTCAGTTTACTTTTGCAATCAATCATATGATATGTATGACGAGCGAATCCAAATACATCTTGGGAATTTCTATGGGTTATTGTTATTATAAATTTCAACCCGGGAGATTTGTCAGGTGCAGACACACAATTTATCACAAACAACAGTCCAAGTGGATTACTAAAAGGAAAACTTGAAATCAAAACAATATGTACCTGAGCGCGTTAATTCCAAAACACTAAAATTATAAGCGGCTAAATCCCTTATAACGGAGTGTCTGGAATTGCAATAACAAAATCAAAATGGCCTAGTTCTATGTAAATTTGTTCAAACTAGTAACGCATACTTGCATTACCATCGACATTCCTCCTTATACGCACACACGTATACCTTTCCCATCTAATAATACTAACAGTGAAATCAGAAAAAAAATTAACATGTTCGATATATTACACTAAGACATTCAAAATTAATACAGTTCACCTGAACCAAGACATGTTTAGGATACCTGGTTAACTTAATGCATGGGGTTTAAATTCGACATTCAAAGTTCTGACACTGTCCCTACATCTAAAATCTAATTTGTCAACCTCAGCATCCAGAATATACCTTCTCGTAACACGTCTAGTCATTCCATTCTTGTAAATCTTAAACTAAATTCTTATTTGAAATATTTACTATATAATTTCTTACATACTTTTCGTAATAACATAGTTTCGTTCCGGAAGTGGTGGCGGCGCATCGCCTAAAACAATATGGATTTTTTTTTACCACATGAGAAAAAAACATAAATTGATATACATAAATTGAAATTTTTTTCGTTGACGCGTGTGGGAATTTCAGGAAAATAATGTGTGTTTAAGTATATAATTACCATACACTTGTTATTTATTAGTACATGCTACGAGAATTTTGAAATTAAAGTAGCGTATATGAAAGTTTTCCACTTTTTTCAATAACTATTTTGCAAGTTAATACTCGTTGATCCTTTGCACCTGTGTGTTGTTTTTTTTTTTATTTTACAAGGAAAACAAGTAAAGTGTTCAAACAGTATTCTCTTTTATATAACTTAAAATACAGGAATTAGTAATAATTCTGCTACGTTTGCTAGTTTCTTTCTCCTGGGTTACATTTGAATTATAACAAACGCTTTTGATATATCGCTCTAATAATTTTGTACTCCGGGCGAGCGTTTCGTCTACACACGACTCATCTGGGGCGCTCAAACCAAAACACTTGAAACCCATATCAATTAAAAGAGGTTGATGAGCATCTGCAATTAGAGGAAATTTCCATATCCATGACATTTCATTTCGGACAAGAAGTGCTGACTATAGATCTGTGGCATTGATACAACGTAATAAGAGTGAACAACGCAGTTTCTATAATGATATGCAGGCTTTTTATCTTGAACAAACGTTCGAAATTTGTATTGTGTTCTTTGTAAGAACAACACATTTTCAACAAATAAACACATGTTTAAATTAATCTAACTTTTCAATTGAATGTGCTAATGAAAAAGTATATGTTAAGACAAAGCTGTTTTTATTGGTCAAATTGTCAGTTCTCAATATATGAACATTAAATATTCGTGAAATATCAAAATCATTCAAAAAAAGTTTTTCTATCGACAAGAATAGAAAGCATGAGAGATATTGCATCAGGATAAAGCTAATGTCACAACTTGGAGATACTTCCCCTAAAACAACACATTGGAAACTAATTTAAATACCGGGATTCCAGGGATCAAAATTATTATGCAATACAAGGGTAAGTGGTTTGTTCTCCCCTCAGTGCTTCTTTCTCATTACGAGTAAACTACGACATTAAAGTCGAAATTGCATAAATGATGAACTGATTATTTATTGTTTGTCGCGCCAGTGTGAATATTCCGCTACAAAATCCTAATGTATGTTTGAGCAAACAATCATGTGGATTGTTTTCAAATAAACAAAAGGTCCAGCATGAAAATAAGATGTTTTAGACAATGCCATCAAGTGCCTTGCATATTAAGGAAATAACCAAAATTATTAGTAGTCAGACCTTTAAATGACACTCTTATCATATGCATGAGTCGATAAGAACCTTTAAAAACTGCATTGACACACCTAAGAATTCTTGATTAAGCACATTTTTCCTTAAATTCTTTGACGAAGCGTACTTCTCTTCGTATTTAAAAAAAAAAATAAAACATTACCCTTCCAGATCACCTAGTACGTAAATCCCTTTTTGTAACGTGGTTGTGTCCTCAATGTTTAGTTTTCTGTGTAGTGTTTTGTAGACTGTTATATTGTTATATGGACATTAAAAATCATAAGTCGAACATATAATGACAACGCAATAGCGAAAAAGAAGGAAAGCACAAAGACAAACAGGTCCACAAAACACTACTTTGTGAACTATAGACCAAGTATCACTAACACAACCAAAAACTGGTGACGATCTTATGTGCTCCTGGAAGATTAAATAGATCATGTTCCACTATTGGCATCGTTCATTTTGTTTATCGTAAGTACATTTTCGATGATATAACACTCGACTGGCTTGTGGGTACGATAACTCGAACATATCCGTGGTCATCTTTGGCAGAAATATTCCATACTGGTCAACTAACTCGTTATGGCGTTTGTAAAACTTTCGAAGGAAAGTTTTCAATTTTACCATTTGGAACCATTGCTTCAATAACTTTCTTGAATCACCAACCCTCTATCATGGAATTCATGATAGGAAACTGAAGCTCTGGAATATCGTATTAGCTAGGAGATATAAAATCCATATGCAGACACTGCTGCAATGTTGCTACATAGAAATAGAAAGTCTCAATACTGACAAGCTGAAATACTATAAATTATTAACAGTTCAAGGTAGTTTATTGATTAAATTTTTTAACTAACGTTTTATTTGAACTTAAAATGATAATTACAAAATCTAGCGTTGTATATTGGTTTGTTTGAGAATAAATATGTAGTCACTGTCTGTAGATCTGGGATGAGTTGGATCGTACTATAAACGACGGGGTCTTTATAAACAATTGGTGATCCTCAGGTAGAATGATCAATCTACTATAACAGTGTTACTTTGCATTTGGCAAGTTAAAAGATTACAAAATGCAGCAGACTAAGCTACAAGTAGCATTCTAAGAAAAATTGTACCGTAAGACTTCGACGGTTCAACTGAAAATATCTGGTAGAGAGAATGCGATCAAGATATCCAATGCTACTGCTTAACATCGTTTCCTGTGATTGTTAAGGTGACTTTGCATAATCTCAGCGAATCTGCAAATTACTTAATGCATTTAATCTATTGCTTGAGGACACTCCTTGCTCTCTTTTCTCGACCTTTTAAATGTTACCTTTTGAATATTGCCCATTTCTTCACTTTGATCACTCATTGGAAAATGAAATAACCGATTGAGTCTGACTTTTGATTTAGAATTTTTTTCACGAGGACACGGCTCCCTACGGAACTCATTTGTGATGTGTAATCTTAAACAAGATTTAAGCCTTTTTTCAACTGTCAGACAATTCTTTTCCTTTAATACTTGTGAATTTTATCCCTTTGTACTACCGTAATTACAAAGAATATTGTGTATACTTTGCTTTGGATAAGAGCAATCTTAGTATATCTTGTGATAACTATTACAATTGTTATACAAAAGTTTCCTGTTCTAATTGGCCAATTAATGCGTTTTTTTGTTGATTCGTAAATGAAAAGTATTTGGTCATGATGGTATACGACTTGAAAACCATTTTAAACATAAACTGTTTAGCTTCAGAATATTTAATTTTAATCATTATTTTTGTATATGTCAGCGTTTACCACGGTTCCCTTTCTTGTCAGACGAATAAAATAAAGCACAATTTGAGATGAAAATATTTAAGATACCCGGGGTTCGTGTTCAAATATTATGTTTTTCTTTTATTTTTTTATATTGGTTCTTTATCTTACAATTTCAGTAAAAATCCAAGACGATCATCACAAATGTCATATCATAGGTAATCGTTGACTAATCTGATACAGCTATAAAACCCAAGAAAAATGCACTCTCCCCTCCTCCAAAAGTAAATTAAAACAAAACAAAAACCCAAGAGCAAATCAATGAAAATCAGAAGAGGGACAACAATCTGCAAATGGAACGTTAATTTGTCATACATCATCAATCGGGCGTAGTGATCTAATTTTCTTTGAATAATAAAAGAAAAAAACAATTTTCGGTTGAACATCACCTGACAATTCGAAATATGTTTAATGAGATTATAAACATAAGCAATAATGTCCAGTATTTATGATTTTTCAATCTACATGCGCACGTATATAGATTTGAAACATCAACAAATCGACTTTTCTCATATTTAAATTTGATGAAGGGACGTGATAATCGTAAGACGTGACATAATTTTTTTTTACGTTTAACTTAACACCTTTGCTGTAGCACCTTGTCTGCTCGAAAAATGAGAAGCTGATCTAAGTATGAACCAATCGCGAGAAAAAGACTGATGTCTTTAATATGTTGCTGTTCCCAACACGAAAGCAGTTAACATGAACCCAAATCATGGCGTTGACAAAAATTAGAGAGTCAAGCGCTATATATTGAGGAAAAGAAGGTAAATATCTAGATAATTGTTTATATAAGATGTTAGGATTTTGAATAAATTATGGTTTAAACAGTACGATATAATATAAAGGTATATGGTATTCTTGTCAATAAGACAAGTATCAACCTAGTCAAAATGACGCGGATTTAATCAACTATCGGTCACCGTACGACCTATAACAATGAGCAAAACCCGTACCGTATAATCACCGGTAAAAGTGGTTCTCGTTTCTGGTTTTTTTATATAGATTAGACCGTTGGTTTTCTTGTTTGAATAGTTATACACTAGTCTTTTTGGAGCCCTTTATAGCTTGCTGTTCGGTGTGAGTCAAGGCTCTGTGTTAAAGGCCGTACTTTGGCCTATAATTGTTTACTTTACACATTGTGACTTGGATGGAGAGTTGTCTCATTTGCTTTCATACCACATCTTCTTATTTATATTATGTACATAACGTTGAAATGTCAGCAATTTGAATGATTCCTCGAGCTTTAGATTTCTTGCGTTACATCTTGTTAACACATTTTTTCATGTAGCATGTTTGACTGTTTTGAATCCATGGTAAAATACTTTATTGTAGATATTTCAAAACCAAAAATTCACATTATTTAGATTTATATATAAAAACCTATAACATTTTTCAACAGTGAGATGACATTACAAGTGTATGACCGATTTATCATCCCCTTTATGTTTTAAGGGACTGCTGTTTAAACAAAAGTTAATGTGAGATATGTGTTTATAAGCAGCAACCCCTGTGTTGGATCAGATCCATTAATTTGTCTACATGTTTTGTGTAATCGTATTCACGATAATCTTATTCGGAGTTAAATCTGGACATCACTGCTGGCACCATTTTGTAATTACTGAAGCCTCATATCAGTCCTTTGTAAATAGACCTTGCCAGGTCGTATCACTTGACAAAGGACTGTTGCAGGATTCATTCTGGACCACAATTTGGTCAGATTTAGAATACCAGTTATTGGAATTGTTCACGCCTCCTGACGAGCTCAAGCAACTGCTCACATCACAGTACGAAAACAGTACAATCCGGTACTTATAATTGCAGACTCACCGATGAGAACCCGAACTTTCTGAAGAAAACCAGGACGTTGGACAGTCTTGAGGACAGATGGTTGCAGTCCTAACCTGTACAAAAGTTAACGTAGAGAAGTCCTTATGACTGTTCTCTAAGTTAACTTCAGAAAATTTTTGCAGACCTGCAAATTCACATTATCCATATCAGACCAGACCTAGGTCTGCTTTTTTTAATACTGCTGCAGACCCAACCTGAGGACATGCCAGCTTGACCAGACAAAACCTTTGGAAAGATCAGCTTGACCAGACCACGCCTTTGAACAAGTCTGCTGTTAATTTGTAATGCTGAAAAGTCTGCTATTAGACAGAGCAGTCACGTCATTCATAGGAACAGGTCTGCTTTATAATCGGTCATATGTTTTCACTGATCGGAAGTCGATGCTCAAATGATATTCATCAATCAAAGCGGTCCTGTTAACTAATTAACTTTGGATCATGTTAAATTTATCTCGGAGAAGATCAGACCAAAGTTAACTTTTATTAGAACAGGTCTGGTTCGGACAGAGCAGTCTAGATCAATGACTGCTTTTAATAACACATATGGTCAAAACTTGTGTGTAGGACTGGTTTTTGCAATGTTTACATCGTCCAGAGTTTCAAACATATTCAGTATTGAACCTGTCATAAAGTTAACCTTTCGGACAGTCAAATAACAGTCCTAGGATCAATTCTACTCTTTAAGTTACTAGTAAAATGAAATCTGTCCTAAGACCGGTCGGATCAGTCATAAATCCTGTCCCAAGTTACTTATCACTAGTCAAAAAGTCTGGTCATCAAGTTAACTAGCTGTACAGGTTAGGAATGCACAAATATGTACTAATCTTTTATCAGACATTCGACTGTCTAAAACGTACAAAGTGGTCAAGAAACAAAACACGAGCATCGACTCGTCCTGACAAAGGCTAAATTCACCACAACAAAGAGCAAGAAAACTTCACTCAACGGAAGCTCCAACGTCTCCGCTATGTCAAGCCTAGCACAGAGGAAGCGTGCCAAAGCAGAGGTTTCTAAATCAAAAATAACTTTTGCCGAAAAACAAATTCCGATCCTTAAACAAGAGGCAATTTTAGAGGAAAGGGCTCTGTACAGACACACCGAAATCAAGGCCGAAATGGAACATGAAGCCATCAGAGACGAACAAGAAGCAATACACAGAAAGGCGCGATTGGAACAGGAGACCGCACGTGCCGTCCCTAAAAAAGCCGAGCTTTACCGGATCGTGACATTGATAAACACATACATTGTAGCACGTGAAGTACGTGACAAATAAGTAAACTGATATGTTGTTTTTTTTTTATATCCATGCGTTCCCATTTGTTAATTAAACTTTTCTTTATCAGTTGTTAAATGATCTTGCGTATTTAATTTGTTTTTAAAGAATCATGTTGTTAATGTTTACATGCTAGTGCACATTTGCTTACATTCTTCGTCACGAGTTTTCCTCGCATCTGCGCTATGCGGTGACCGAAGTACAAACGAGAGGTCTCGTAGTTAATTATATTAGTTCACTACATACGGGAAAATATTAGCGAATTAATGTACGGGACGACAATAATTCAATTGAGGTACATTTATGAAGATTTTGATAATATAAAGGATGTTCTTTTACGAGAAAATTCACTACACTTTTTTTAAAGTATAACTGAGCCATTCAAGTATATCAAACATTAACAACTTTTTTTCTAAATTGACATATTGTAAAATTGTATCTTATTCTATTTTTTTAGTTATTTACCATTTTTGGATTGGTACTATAATAAAAGTGCGCACCTGATGCTTTATCTCTTCTTATACCCAACCACTTTTCTTACCTATTTTCTTAATATGGTTCTAAAAATTGTATAATATAAAGATAAGAAGATGTGGTATGATTGCCAATGAGACAACTTTATTCAATGGATGTTGATAACTTATGTAAAAATCTACGAAATGTCAAGTAAATGTCCGAACTACAATAGTTTGTTTCTAATACTGACACTGACAGGTAAAAAGACATCACCTGTTTTACACTTGGACTTATCAGTGAAGTAAGAATGAAGAATAAAGAAATGTTTTCTACATAAGAGTAACTATTGAACTCAGAATAAATATTAAAGTAAACTATTAATCATTTTGTTGAAAATATCTTAATTTTTATATTATTTGTGAAATGTCTTGATATGTGTGTACCTGCAATACTTTCCTGATCTGTTTTCTCAACATAGTAGTCGGGAATCCATCCTTCTGAATTACCATGTACTACCCAAATCCAATTCCCATCACTTGTTACGTGTACATGATCAACAACATCACCTTTCTTGACATTAAGATTATCCGTGACGTATTTGGATTTGCTTTCGAAAGATTGTTTCACCTTGTACATCTTTCCTTTGATAAATATGTTTATAATTACATATTGCATTTTCTGTTTACTTTATTTTATAAATTTCAATTTAATTATCATTTTCTTTATTAATTTATCAAATCCAATTTAAATGAAGATAGCCGATCTTCAACTCTAAAGTGAATGAATTTAAGATGACATTATATTGTATAAAAAAAGTCAAGTTATAAAGAGTACATGTTTACATGCATTGTAAAACATTTTCATTTGTCTGTGTTTTCTACATTTTCTCTTGTCATAATTATGAGGACGAAGACATCGATATGAGGACGATGTTCTAAAAAAACAATAAGAAAACCAATAAAATAAAATATCAATATACTAGTAAAGCCAACATCTTCAAAAAGAGGGACGAAAGATACTAGAGGGACAGTCAAACTCATAGATCGAAAACAAACTGACAACGTCATGGCCAAAAATAAAAAGACAAACAGACAAATAATAGTACAGACGACACAACATAGAAAACTAAAGACTAAGCAACACGAACCCCACCAAAAACTGGGGGTGATCTCAGGTTCTCCGGAAGGGTAAGCAGATCCTGCTCCACATGTTTTACACGTAAGGTGTCCATCTTTTGCAATTACCAAGAAATCTGTTCCAGTTTTTTGTTTTTCTCTTAATTTTTCCTAAAATCACATAAAGGGATACGATTTCTCGCAATTTCCTATATGATTGCTCAATAAAGGAGCGTGCAATTACCCGCAATTTTCACGCCAAAAAATATAATGCCTTATAGTATGGCAACATCGGGGAAGATTTTTAGCTTATTTTAAATCAATTGGTGCAAGAAATTCGTTAAACCTGGTGATTTAATTTTCGGACCTCAATCATGAAGAGACTGGCATACGGTATTGCAACTTGATATGTTAAAAAACATATCGTAGAAGATTTTTTTCATTGCATTAAGTGCTGTTCCTTAGTAATAAAAATAAAAATTATTTCTCATTTTAATTTAAAAAAGAAATAAGTGTGACTGTTAATAAGTTTTTACATGTTTCTTTCTCTTTCACAGTTAGCATCTACCTCATATAAGACTGATGCATGGAGTTAAGTCAAGTAAAAAGATGCAATGATATTAAGAGCGCAATTAAAAATAATTCGACGACAACATTCAGTGTTCTTCAACATCGTGTTTGGTTTGACCTTTTAACTTTTTTTATTCGAGCGCAACTGATAATCCTAACTAGACGAAATGCAGTTCATGCGTAACAAATGATAAGACTTATATATTTAATGAGTTTTTGTTATACTTCATCGAATACTAAAATGGACGTACTCATAATAGTCTAGCTTGTCTTTAGGGATATAACACCCCTTTTTTTAACGGTGCATAAATTCAGAAAACTTTACTTCATGTTTCAAGAATTGTGTGTTCTTTTCTAACTTAAAGAGTTAATGAGATTTCCCTGCAGAATATTCACAGAAATAGAGAAACAAAAAAACTCACAAAAATAGTTATCGACGCAAAAGAAAACTAGAATTCGGTCTGCAATTCCTAATCGTACATTTACATTTATTGTTCAAACATTAGCGTAATGTCTATAAGTATCACGTTTCGATACTCTATGACTAAATAGGGGTTCATTTAGCATCAATAAAAAAGCATGGTTTTGAAAATTGAACAATAAATATGCAATTTGCATTTTTTTTTCTTTCGTCATTTGAATGTTATTAACATTAATGTATTACTCTTTAGTGTGGTGATTTCTGTTGGTTGAACAAAACTATTTTGAATCCATCCATTGGTATCACCATGTTCTACCCAGTGCCATCCCTCTTGACTGTTTATGAGTTTGACAACATCCCCTTTTTTGACATTCAGATTTTCTTTGTCGTTATCGGACTGACTGATAAAATCACATAACACCTTTAATAATGTTCCTGTAAGATATAAGATTTTTCAGAAGATTAATTTAGAAATTATTTTTCGTCTTCATTTTGATATTTTCATATAGATTTAAATCATAGGTAAGATATCTGAACAATAAAGTGGTTGTTTAGAAATCCAATGAGTAGCTATTGTCAATTTTGAATCGAGACGGTTTCAATTATAGCAGTTGCTAACACTAACGGCACCAATAAAGTCGGTAATTTAAGTTTGAAAAACTGCCAAATAATAATAAAAATCGTAACTGGTAAATTTTATAGATAAAAAAAAACAAACTTATCAATAATAATCACTCCGAATAAATAAATGTTTCTATAAAAAACCAAGATGTAAAGCTACTTTATCAAAGATTAAAAATCGCCTCAATCGGTAATTTGTTCCACCATTGGTAATGTTGATTTTGATCAATCCTTCTCAATACTGTCTAATCCCCAAGGGTGACTGGGGAATAGAAGTATGGTCACCATTGGTCTTCCTCCGACCGGCGGTAAAACCCTCGCTAAAGTGGGGCGTCCGTTTGGCTGTGCGGGATGTACAAATTTGCAGCCACGTCCGGTCAGAATGGGGACGTTAAATCCGATGTCTCGTGTAAAGAGAGTGCCACGCTCTTTGCACGTTAAGAACCCTTGCAACAACTCTTTGAGGGGTCCGTAGGTGACCTGTTGCAAGGCTAAATTTCTGTCCCTATCCAATATACCCTCATTTCCCGTGGCAGTCTAAATTTCTCCGACCTTAATCCCTTAATCTATTACAGAACCTACCTATTGTATTTATTGTGAACTTGTTCTCGTCCTGAATATGCATGAAATATTTGCCACTGGACGTTAAGCAACCAACAATCAATCAATCAATACTGTCTACATGTAATTACCGGTACGATATGTGCAATAGGTTACACATATCAAAGTCTGCTGTACAGAATTGAAAAATCTCTTTTATTGCAATAGCACTCGGAATAACAAGCATAAATCTGCTGTACACAATTGCCAAAATAACTGTTTTAATAGAAATCGGGAAGACCGATCACATAGAATCTGCCGTACCGATAGTCGAACACTGATAGAAGGTTCATATGTTGACCCACTTATCAGACAAGATGAATATGCGAATGTGCTTATTTATTAGAATAACAATCGAATATTCTAATGACATTAATGAAGCTAGTGTAACTATAAAATGTTCGGATATATTGTTTCTATAAATTCAATAGTATTTGAATAGTAATTTAAGGTAAACTTAAGGTAGACATTTAAAATCAGTGACAACGACTCTGTTAATTTTCGTCATTGTTTCATCATCCGGAACTGCACAGATGAAGTTATATCTTTGAGTATGTTCATATCAAACGTCATATACATTCCCTTTATACTGCAACTGTGCTATCTTTGCAGTCAAATTGCATTGACCGTATATTTACTTTTCTATGACGTTCTTCAAACGCTTTGGGTAAAAACCCGTGGTATAATATGAATATATTGATATGTCAGCTGATTGTCAACGTGATGGATTGTTTGGGACCTAATCTTACTCCCACGTCATTTGCTTACTATCAATAAGTTACCCGAGATCAGAAGGTGTAAATGACGTCATTGAACAATTGAACAGTGACGTAAGAATATAAGGATTCTACGGGAAAATGCACGACTTTAAAACTGAAAGTCGTCAAAGCATGAAAACCAAACAAATGATGATAAGAATTTGTTGAAAGCCCATTTTATTAAATAAAAGTAAGATAATCAATCAACTTCGTCGAAACCTGTCTTAGTATGTAATGGTAAATCATTTAAGCATGTCACTTATTCAGTTTTCTTCGTATTTTACGTTAATAGTGTGTTTAAATCAGGGAACAGCAAACATTTCCCTGCACCTAGAGCGCTTTGAAACAAAAGAAATGCTGTCTTTGTCCTATAAAAATAGAAATAATCCATGAGGGCTTGAATTTATTTTGATTTTACCACGGGTTGGCCCTTTATGCTGATATTGTTCCCCTTGCTATCGCTCGTGGTAAAATATTTAGCATGTTTCTAAGCCTTGTACAAATACATTTCATATTTCGAGATAATGTATGGTTGTTCTATATGAATGTCATGTTGAATTCGTTAAAACACTATTTCTAAAAACGACTAAAATGTTTAAAAGAAGGGCTTTTTCCACTGAATAGTGTTATTCTTTTTATTTAAGAGAATTTAAAATGAAATATGAGCTTTTGATTTTGCCAATTGTTACGGGACTTTCCGTTTTGGATTTTCCTTGGAGTTCAGCTTTTTTTTGTTTTTGTTTTATATTTTGGTACTGACATGATTTGTAACATACTGGTCTTAAGAGGCCGTGCCAATAACCATTGAGCTTCGAACTGTACAAACCTTGAATGCGCAAAAATTTAGAGCTCTTAATTGATTTGTTATATCATAAAAAACATGTTTACGACAAAAAAAAATTCAATCACGTCCTTATATCTTGTATCTAAGGAAAATGTTTCCTTAGTTACGAGTACAAAGAGCGTACCAAAATAAGAGAAAAATCAACACATTTGCAGGCTACCTAGAGCAAAAGTGTGAGTAGGAATGTGTTTGTTGTTACAAATACAAAGTAAGGTAACCATTGCCAATCATTTAAAACATTTTATCAGTCATGTTGTTTTTTAATACGTTGCTATGGCAACGGGAAAATGCAAAGGAATTTGAATTGGAAACATTAAGGAATATGACCCAGTTTGTATCATACGTATACAAAAATCCGGACTAACAGTGATATGATGTATATTGTATTCCTTATATAAAATATCTATATTGTTAATCAAACAAAAAAATTAGATTGGGTAGACTTTGAAGATCATGTTTTTGCTGACGGTTTCAAAAATGCCTTTTTCTCCCTTTTTTCTAAGTTTTTTTTAAGTCTGCCAGAAATGGTCTGTAGACTGAGATGACCTGGTGTCATCCTACTGCTTATCTGCTAACATTATTCTACTATTTTGTTTCATGATATAATTGTTTATAGATGGAATACGCCAATTATTAAGTATTTGTGACTAATAAAGGCGGGTTCAGGGTTTGAAAAGGGAGGGGGGGCACAGAGGGCATACATTTTTTGCTTCAAAAATTCGTTAAAAATGTCTAAAATATTGACCTTTATGGGCATTTGAAATTCACAATTTTGAACCCTCTTTTATTTCACCAACCCTGGTTATGCCCCTCAAATGTGATATTAAGTCCTAAATTTTATAAATAATTTTGATTTTTTTTTTGAAATATTCAGATCATTCATTCCAATATTTCCACATAAACATGATAAACAAATGAGATTTTTTTTTATGTTTAACAGATGATAACTTTACAGAGTTGATCTCGATTGAATTCACTCTAATTATTGATCTAACTTCCTTTTCTAAGCAAAGCACCCACAACACCCTATTAAAATAACCTAAATGTTAATTATTTGCTTTATTTCAACTATGGTCAAGCATCTTTAATTTAAAATCTGTTGACTCAATTAGTCAAATTACATGATATTTGCTGGAAGTTGCTGAACCAATTTTGTTGCGAAAATTTACACTATTGTTCAAGACTAGTAGAGTTGAGCACTTTTGAACAAATTACCCCCTCGCCTCACACATTCGTTAAGTGCCTGTCCCAAGTCGGAAGCCTGTGATTAAGTGGTAGTTATTTGGTCGGGTTGTTGTCTCTTTGACATATTCCCCATTACCATTCTCAATTTTATTTTTATTGGTTGCTGTCTGCCATAATTATTTCTTATTATAGTTTAAGCCTAAATCAGGCATGGGTTTTCTCATTTATTTGTTTTAAACATTTGTTCATGCTGTTGGCTTTTATCATTGTTTATAGCTTGCTATAGAGTATGGGGTTTGCTCAATGGTGAAGGTTGTATTCCTACATCATTTTTGGTATTTTGTGTATATTTGTCTTATTGGCAATTATACCACACCTGAATTGAGTTCATTTGACACAAAAAAAAATCTGTCATTTTATCGAATCTACTCTCATTTTATAACTGATATATTTCCATGGAAGGATTATACCTTAAACTTAAATTTTTCTAATGTTTAGTCTATTATATTAGTATATAGAATCATTTTTTTTATTTTTTCATCAGGGACGGTTTTGAATACAAATATTGTTAGGTCCAATTTGTTCCAATATCATACATTCTTTTCTATACATGTGATCTCCCTAATATCTAATGAATTAGCTTTAAAAAACCTCTGATTAAAATATATTTGCGAAGAATAGACACTTTTCATTGCAGTTGTATCCCTTTTCATCAACGCCAACTTGAAAGAACATTGATCAATTTTGCAGGATAATGTGATGCAGAGATTGATCACCAAATAAATTAGAAATATGAAGAGATTGTCAAACATTTATGGAGTCCCTTAAGTGCCTTGTAAATATAATAGATATATTCATATGCCGGAGATTTAATGTGATGCGGACCAGTTTGAAAAATTGTGCACACGACTTTTTAACTCGTGCACAACTTTCAATAAAATGCTTCGCCGAGCGCAGCCTGATACGACCGCTGAGGTCAAACCCTGAACAGCTGGTGCATTTTTGGACACAATGTTGAAGCTTGATACTGTCTGAATTTAGATTGTGATCAAAATTTTTACATAATATTTAGTAATTAACATTGAAATTGGTCAAAATATTTTTATTAACTTTCAAGTAAAGATTTCTTGCTATTGCGCAGTACTTTGTAATCTGATATTTTTTGCTTATTGCGCAATACTGTGGAATTGAAGATTTCTTGCTATTGCGCAATACTGTGCAATTAGATAATTTTTGCCATTGCGCAATACTGTGCAATTAAATAATTCTTGCTATTGTGCAATACTGTGCAATTGAAGATTTGCTGCTATTGGACAATACTGTGCAATTGAAGATTTGCTGCTATTGCGCAACACTTAGCTTTTGCGCAATACTGTGCTATTGCACAATACTTAATATAATAATTTACACATCCTGTTTGGTGTTTATCTCCTGCCATATCAGCATTTTTTGCTTTTATATATAAATCAGAAATAATCAAAGAAAAATGGAAAATTTTAAAGGAAAAAAAAAATAATTAAACCCCTCCCCCCTCCCCCCAAAAAAACATTTTGAACCCCCCTTGGGAGTTATTAAATCCCAAACTTTCCCTTTGTAGTATGGTACCTTACAACACAAATTCAGAGAGATTCATACACTTAAACACAAGTTATTGTCTAGAAACTAGAAAAATAGCTTGTTTTTTTGTCCCTTTTTGGCCTCTAATTCCTAAATATTTATGGCAATTACCCCCAAACTCAATCCAAGCCTTTCCTTTGTGACATGGAATTTTGCAGTAAAATTTCAAAGAGATCCATTCACGTAACACAAGTTATTGTCTGGAAACTAGAAAAATGCTTGTTTTAGGACACTTTTTTGCCCCTCATTTCTAATATTTTGAGGAATTACCCCCAAACTCAATCCCAGCTTTCCTTTGTGATCTGGAACCTGGTGTTCAATTACAGAGCGATCCATACACTAAAATACAAATTATTGTCCAGAAACTGCAAAAATACTTGTTTTTGGCCCTGTTTGGCCCCTAATTCCTTAACTGTTGGTCCCAAAACCCCAAAAATCAATCCCAAGCTTTCTTTTTGGGTATTGAACCTTCTGGTAAAATTTCATAGAGATCCATTCACTTTAATTAAAGTTATTGTCCGGAAACCAAATGTGTCTTCGGACGACGCTGACGCCGACGACATCATACCAATACAAAATGTAAACGACGCAAAAAATATATTTGCGGTCGTATAAAAACATGAAAAACTAGTGGGCATGACTTTAAAACAAAGTTTGACTGATTCTATACGGAGGAGCGCACAAGTTTGAAAGTCGTGCGAACTATTTTTGAAAGTTATGCACACAAGTTTTGGAAACTTATGCGCACAATTTCAAAGTTGTGCGCATGACGTTCGAAGTCGTGCGCACCAGTTGAAAAGTCATGCACACGATTTTTCAAACTGGTGCGCACCTGATTAAATCTCTGGTAAACAAAAATATTTATATTTACATGGCACCTAAGGGTCTCTGTAAAGATTTAACCACAAAAGTTTAAAAAGGTAAAAAGATCAAACCTTTAATGTTCACTTTAATTTCTATTTGATATGACAACCCTACAATAAAGTCAGTTGAGCATTTTTGTTGACAATCTTATTTGACAAAGAGGGAGGTATGATACAAGCCATTATTTGAACCCTGAAATTGCAAAAAAAAGAAAAAAGTAAAATTATTCAAGCCTATCAAAATTAATATAACTTTATTGATAAATCAACAAGCTATTAGACATTGAATGATTTTAGACCAAGTTTGGTTTTATTTGGCCCAGTTGTTTAAGAGGAGAAGATTTTTGTAAAAAAATACAAAATTTACGAAAAATGGTGAAGAATTTACTTTAAAGGCAATAACTCTTTATGGGTCAATGGCAATTTTGATTATGTTGACTTATTTGTATAAACTACTTTGCTACACATTTTGCTGTTTACAGTTTATCTTTATCAATAATAATATTACCAATTTAGGGGCAGCAACTCAACAACGGTTTGTCTAATGCTTAATAAAATTTCAGGCAGCCAGAACTTGACTTGATGAACATTTACACCAGTAAGATTTGCTCTAAATGCTTTAGTTTCAGAGATATAAGCAAAAAAATGAATTTCACCCCCATGTTATATGTTTTGTCATGGTGGCCATCTTGGTTGAAGGTCGGGGTCATCGGATACATTTTTTAAACTAAATAACCTCAGGATGAAAGTGGGGCGAAAGATACCAGATTGACAGTCAAACTCATAGATCGAAAATAAACTGACAACGCCCTGGCTGAAAAATCAAAGACAAACAGATAACTATAAGCACACAAGACACAACATAGAAAACTAAATACTAAGCAACACGAACCCCACCAAAACCTGGGGACGATTTAACCAATCGTTTATAATCTTTAATATTTTTCACTTTCCACCTGAAGCTCTATGCTTATTGGCACAGCCTCTTAAATGCTCCGTTAAAGAATTAAGAAATAATTGAGAAAATAATATTCAAACAACTTTTTCAAGAAAATTGATCGTAGATAAATTTGGATATTCTATTTAATTCCGTTTTGGTCATAAAGCTCCTCACAGTTACAGTTATGTATATACCCTTTACTCTCAAATGATTGGTATTGAGCGTTCCTGGTGAAGGGAGTTGACGAAAAGCGCTTTGGACGCATGAAACTTGTATTTAATAAACACATTTCTACTGGTAAATACCGTAATTTGACTTTTATAATCTTTGTTTTGTGTGTTGACTGAGTGCCCAATTTAAAGTGTATCCCTCATCTGTTTTCTAATTCATTGCAAAATTATAGATGTTTGAAGCATGGAGTCGTACACTGTGCGTGACCAATACGTTACGTCAAACAGAAGTTTTTAGTATTATTCTTATTTGAACAGAAATTACCCTTTTTAACAATGCTAAACAATGATAACAACTATTTTTGCTACAAAACAACAACAATCATCTTTTGTTTCGATCTACGAAAAACTGTTTGTGCCCTTAATTGGCTGGCTCAAATGTACAGTTCAAGTCTTACAAGAAATTAAAGTATGTCAGTAAGATTGCTTACCTGTTGACCATGTTGACGAGCTATCTGCTTCTTTTTGTGCAGCTTGGTTTTCACTAAATTTAATGGATATCCCTGAAAAAAGGACGTTAATAGATACTTGTTTTTTCTCCTTCATTTTTGATATGTTTAAATTATACTTTGAAAAAATAGATGTCAATCGAGGGATAGTTCTCGATTGTTTATTCCATCCAGTAGCAATAACTTCGTTAAACGTACTAGGTTGATTTAAATGATATATTGTGATGTAAATTCCTAGCTTATAAATACTGTTTATTGTGTAAATGTATAGAAACGAGGACCCCAACAAACTCGGTAAATAGTTGTTCATAGAAAGATGGTAGTTTCTTTGTATAACAAAGCTTACAAACTTATATACAATCGCAATCAACAGGATTTCGCTTGGAAAGTACCTTGTAATTATTTGGTTTCAAGTTTGAAGCATAAATACAATGGTGGTTCAATATTGAACAACAATTCCATGTGCGTACTTTCAGCGTAAGACATCAAGAACATATCGTATGTTTTTTTAAATGAAAAATGAACATGACCGGTCCTAATGAAGGGTCTGCTTTTGAACAGAAATGTTGGCAGGTCTTGTTGTTGATCTACGTTTGACAGAAAAGTCGTTTTTTTAAATCAGTGAAACAAATGAATATTGTATTTTATTTTTTAAAAGTTAAATCAGAATGAATCTAATTCTATGCGGTAAACTTGATATCGAGAAACAAAGAAATCGATGAACATTTATACCAGTCTGATTAGCTCTAAATGCTTTAGTTTCAGAGATATAAGCAAAAAAATGGTTTCACCCCCATGTTATATGTTTTGCCATGGTGGCCATCTTGGTTGATGGGCGGGGTCTTCGGATACATTTTTTAAACTAAATAACCTCAGGATGAAAGAGGGGCGAAAGATACAAGAGGGACAGTCAAACTCATAGATCGAAAATAAACTGACAACGCCATGGCTGAAAAATAAAAAGACAAGCAGACAAATAATAGTACACAAGACACAACATAGAAAACTAAAGACTAAGCAACACGAACCCCACCAAAACCTGGGGGTGATTTAACCAATCTTTTATGATCTTTAATATTTTTCACTTTCCACCTGAAGCTCTATGCTTATTGGCACAGACTCTTAAATGCTCCGTTAAAGAATTAAGAAATAATTGAGAAAATAATATTCAAACAACTTCAAGAAAATTGATCGTAGATAAATTTGGATATTCTATTTAATTCCGTTTTGGTCATAAAGCTCCTCACAGTTACAGTTATGTATATACCCTTTACTCTCAAATGATTGGTATTGAGCGTCCCTGGTGAAGGTAGATGACGAAAAGCGCTTTGGACGCATGTAATTTGTATTTAATAAACACATTTCTACTGGTAAAGACCGTGATTTGACTTTAATATATCTTTTTGTTTTGTGTGTTGACTGAGTGCTCAATTTAAAGTGTATCCCTCATCTGTTTTCCAATTCATTGCAAAATTATAGATGTTTGAGGCATGGAGTCGCACACTGTGCGTGACCAATACGTTACGTCAAACAGAAGTTTTTAGTATTATTCTTATTTGAACAGAAATTACCCTTTTTAACAATGCTAAACAATGATAACAACTATTTTTGCTACAAAACTACAACAATCATCTTTTGTTTCGATCTACGAAAAACTGTTTGTGTCCTTAATTGGCTGCCTCAAATGTACAGTTCAAGACCTACAAGAAATAAAAATATGTCAGTAAGATTGCTTACCTGTTGACCATGTTGACGAGCTGTCTGCTTCTTTTTTTGCAGCTTGGTTTTCATTAGATTTAATGGATATCTCTGAAAAAGGACGTTAATAGATACTTGTTTTTTCTTCTTCATTTTTGATATGTTTAAATTATACTTTGAAAAAATAGATGTCAATCGAGGGATAGTTTCCGATTATATATTCCATCCAGTAGCAATAACTTCGTTAAACGTACTAGGTTGATTTAAATGATATATTGCGATGTAAATTCCTAGCTTATAAATCATGTTTATTGTGTAAATGTATAGAAACGAGGACCCCAACGCCCTCGGAAAATAGTTGTTCATAGAAAGATGGTAGTTTCTTTGTTAAACAAAGCTTACAAACTTATATACAATCGCAATCAATAGGATACCGCTGGGAAAATACCTTGTATTTATTTGGTTTCAAGTTTGAAGCATAAATACAATGGTGGTTCAATATTGTACAATTCCATGTGCGTACTTTCAGCGTAAGACGTCAAGAACATATCGTATGTTTTTTTAAATGAAAAATGAACATGACCGGTCCTAATGAAGGGTCTGCTTTTGAACAGAAATGTTGGCAGGTCTTGTTGTTGATCTACGTTTGACAGAAAAGTCGTTTTTTTTTTAAATCAGTGAAATAAATGAATATTGTATTTTATTTTTTAAAAGTTGAATCAGAATGAATCTAATTCTATGCGGTAAACTTAATATCGAGAAACAAAGAAATGTTAAAGAAATTTAATTAATCGAAACAAAACAGTCCTGATTACAAGTTAATTTTAGCTTCGAGCATACAAGACCAAAACTTAGCGTAAAAAAAGGTCTGGTTTAATCTGCTAATCTGGGTCAAAATTAACCCGTATGCAGGAATATGGTTTCTGGTAAACTTTATCCAGACTTACTTTGAGTAGCATTCCTTTTAAAATCAAACCTTTTTATGTGTCATAAAAACTGTTTTTTTTTAAATCCGCGAGCGCAGTTATAAGCATGACGCAAGTTATTTTAGACATGTCAAAATGTCCGGTTATCAAATAATCTCATCATAGATACCAGGATTAAAGCTTCGTCTGCCAGACGCGTGTTTTGTCTACAAAAGACTCACCAGTGACGCTCGAATCAAAAAAGTTAAAAGGGCCAAATAAAGCATTGAAAGTTATAACCGCATTTATTGAGATCACCCCGGTTTTTGGTGGGATTCGTGTTGCTGAGTCTTTAATTTTCTATGTTGTGTTTTGTGTACTGTTGTTTGTCCTATTGTCGTTTTTCTTTTTTTGTCATGGGATTGTCAGTTTGTATTCGACTTATGAGTTTGAATTTCCCTTTGGTATCTTTCGTCTTTCTTTTTCATTGCTATACAACCTTACTGTCAAAAATCATAGATAACAGGCTTATACTTTTGTATGTAAGATATGGAATATCTGTGTCATATATGACCACGGCTTTATTTCGCTTAAATTATCACAATCCCGTCTTTTTTCGTGGATTGTGACATTACCGAGTACGAATTCGAATCAGTGGATTTTTACCTCCTTTAGCAGAACGGCGGAAGCGACATGTGGAACAATAACTGATAAATACATAATTTCAACCCCGGTTTTGGTGGGGTTTATGTTGCTCAATTTTTAATTTATGTGTAATGTTTGATTATTTTTTAATTGTATATTCGTTGCTCTTTTTTAAACTTTTTGTCAAGATTGTTTGATTATGTGGCCTCAAAAACCCTGCCTTATTTACCTCATCAATGTTCTTTCTGTAATTATGTTTGAAATACTATAATTTAATAATGTTTGCTACTTTTCGTCTATCAAGTATATGTCTTTTGGGAGTCCCGATGAAGGTAAATTTAAAAGGGCGCTTCGGAAGTATAACATTTAAAAAGTTTTTAATTCTATTTGTTTATATAACTAGGGCAATATCGCTGTTAGTAGAATTTTAAGTCTTATTTTACTAGAAGTTACGATGATCTGAATTGTAAATCTATAAATGTCGTCTACGGATTAGAGTGTAACCTTTGCGGATTGGTTTACGTCGGTGAAACGAAAGGAAGGCTAAACAAACGTATGTGCGGCCATAGATCAGATATCAACCTCAATGCAAACGACATTCTGTACCAGCATTTTAATCAGCCTGATCATTCCATCGTTTCTATGACAGTTCGTATTATCGAAAAAATATACCACAAGACTAACATTCCTCAACTTGCAACGACTCTCCGTAGACAAAATTAGGACTACTGGATTCGACAATTGGGAACTGCGACACCATATGGTTGCAATGACAAAATTGATGGTATAGGTATTTTATCTAGTCCTTCCTGTAGATCGGTGAATGTGATGAATATGTTCAACTCTTCTCCTCGACGTAGACGCAGTCATGTTCATCGTCATTATACATCACCTACCTTGCATGATGTCTCTATCAATGACTTGCTGCCATTTATACAATAGCCGTTAGGTATTCGTCACATTCGCACGAAACTGTATTCATTACCCCTTTCAAAACTTCATTTTCTGTTAAATTTATGTTTGGAAACCACTGTTACAAACCCTCATTCAAACCAATACAAACTTACAGCTATCATTTCGGATTTTGCAAGTCACAGTCTTTTCAAACCAGTTCGCATTGGAAAAGATGAAAAAGAGAAAAGATCTTTTCTTAAATTTTCCTTTTCCAACAAAGGTCACGATGGCGTCAATTAAGGCAATATCCTTCATCATAAATTAGTTCAGTCGAAAATACCTCCTTATTTTAAAGATCAGTCTGTACCAATAATTTCTTATATCTATACCAAACCAATTGCAACTAAACTGTTCAATTACAAACACGTTTTGCAGGATCTCAACATTGACGACTTCAAGTCTAAACCTCCTGATTGCACCTGTGCTAGTTCCCAATTCACATATAATCCGTCTGGCCACGTTATTACCGGATACCTCAACATTGTCAATAACACTTCCCTGCGAAATTCGTTATCCAAAGGTCCGAAATATCGTGAGCCTAAATCCATCAAATATTTGGAAAAACAACTTCAAAATACAGATGGATTCAGTCGATGATTATGCCAGGCAATGGGCTAAACGCAAAAAAGAAGACGTAGATCCTCTTTCCGAACGGATTAAGGCTGGGAGGTCATTGATACAAATCCGAATTAAGAAACAAAATGGGCCTATCAATACCCACGCTACGTCAATTTTTAAAGACCCAAATGTTGCAAAACACTTGTCCTACCTCCATGACAAATATGTTGTTGTCCCCGCAGATAAAGCCCCAAACAACATCGTTTTTGTGTGTAAATATCATTACATAAACTGCTTGATAAATGAATTAGGTATTGACAATTCACTTGGAAATTCAACATATACCCTCACGACACTTACCAAAGAGGAAATTCTGGATAATCATAGGTCTGTTCTATGTTCCTTTGGGATTTCAACCAAAGATGAAGAACTGGATCTTCCATCACTGTATTGGATACCTAAACTACATAAGTGTCCTTGCCTTGTCTTGGGGAGGGATAAATTCTACTTTGTAAAGAATCACTCTGATTCAAACAAAAAATTCTCTGAAACTGACATTATCAAGATGCTTGATTTCTTGATTGACAACATATTTGTTACGTTTGAAGGACGTGTTTTTCAACAGACTGTCGGAATTCCAATGGAAACCAATTGTGCCTCTCTTCTTGCCGACTTGTTTCTTTATTATTATGAGGCTGACTTCATACAGGAACTTCTTAGGAAGAAAGATAGGAAGTTAGCAATATCCTTTAACTTTACGTTCCGCTACATAGATGATGTTCTCTCACTAAATAATACAAAATTTGGTGACTATGTTGAACGAATCTATCCCATCGAACTAGAGATAAAGGATACTAAAGATACAGTTAAGTCTGCCTCATATCTTGACTTACATTTAGAAATTGACAATGAGGGTCGGTTGAAAACAAAACTTTACGACAAAAGAGATGATTTCAGCTTCCAAATTGTGAACTTTCCATTTCTATGTAGCAACATTCCAGCAGCGCCTGCATACGGAGTATATATCTCCCAATGTATACGATATTCCCGTGCTTGTATTTCCTATCATGATTTCCTTGATAGAGGATTGCTGCTCACAAGGAAGCCATTAAACCAAGAGTTCCAAATGGTGAAGTTGAAATCATCCCTTCGTAAATTTTACGAACGCCATCACGAGTTGGTTGACCGTTATGGAATAACCGTTTCACAGATGATATCGGATATGTTCCTTATGTCGTAACTACAATACCCTTCCCTTTTCACGAATGTGACCTACCGAATTAGACTTTTTACCGGATTTATTATAACATGAGCAACACGACGGGTGCCACATGTGGAGCAGGATCTGCTTACCATTCCGGAGCACCTGAAATCACCCCCAGTTTTTGGTGGGGTTCGTGTTGCTTAGTCTTTAGTTCTCTATGTTGTGTCATCTGTACTATTATTTGTCTGTTTGTCTTTTTATTTTTGGCTATGGCGTTGTCAGTTTGTTTTCGATCTATGATTTTGACTGTCCCTCTGGTATCTTTCGTCCCTCCTTTAGCATACATCAGGCAGGTGCCTCTCCTTGGAATCATTTCACATTTCTCATGACGGGGCCGCCTAATATATCTTTCTATAGGATTGTTTTGCTTATTGGTGAGGGCCATACGGTCACTTATAGTATTTTATGTTCTCGTTCGTTAACATTGGTGGATAGTTGTCTCATACCACATCACCTTATTTTATTTTAAACGGTTTTATAACAATAGAAATTAGATGAAATGGTAGAAGGTAATATCACTTACTAAAATGTAAAATGCAAGTAGTTAAATAAAAAACTCATCAATTATCCATTCGAGATCCTACGTGCATTGATATACCACTCGCTCTTGTATAATGAATTTTTAAATTTAATTACAGATTAATTACGATAATTTGAGGTGACAGAAGTTTATCGACCTTCAAAGCTCGTAAATCGATTGAAAGACAAACTTAGGTTATAAACAAACCTGGTACCACGACATGGTAAGCGTCTCCTACTATGAATGCAGATCCGCCATGGGAATTGCCAATCAGTAAAATATAGGACACAATCGATAAAATTGCAAATTCAGTCGACTATACTAGTATCTAGTGAGTTGAAACACCGATATATCGGTAACCCAATTTGTGATGGTTATCGTAAAACATATGTTCTGTCGATTTTAGTCGTTTTACTTCGTAACTCAGCTGTAGCAGTTTTTTGACAAGGAGCACACTCTTGCACAGTGTGAAGACGCATAAGCGTACCTTATTAACTGAGATATGTAAATACCACACGACGGAGCAAAGGGTATATTAGTGCTGAAAAATAGAAAGCTGACAATTGGAAAACATACCTTGAGATTTTCTTGTTCTTACAACATGCACTTTCGGAAACCATCCCCATTCGTCACTTTTGAAACCACACCACCAATCACTGTTATTTTTTTTAGCTACACGTATAATTTCTCCATATTTTAAACAAAGCTGTTTTGTAGGTCCTTCGTCACAGAACGCATCAAAAGCTTTAACAACTTTCCATCCTTAAACAATAAAACAAAATCCTTCATGCACACGAACAGCATTTTCTTTAAAAGTCCAATTTAAGATCCAATTGTATCATACAGTTCTTTAAGGACTTATGAATCATTTGCTAATTTTATGCATGTTTTATAAGGATTCATTTTTCTTAGCATTATGGTAAATATTAACTCATGAACATAAACAACATATATTTATACAGTCCTATTATTCTTTCATACAAATACTATCGGTAAAAATTAAAAACAAAAAATTAAATAAAAATCAACACTTTATAAAGTAATTATGCTGAGTTACTATTTGGAATAAAGGCAACACTGTTCATCATATTTATCCTTCTTCGGATAACCACAGATCTGCAAGGAAGCATGAATTTACCTTCAACTTTTTCACAATCTCTATCGTTCTTGCATTTTATACATTCTTCATCTTTCTTCTGATTTGAGAAATAACAAACGGCGCACACCCACATCGTTATTCTACATAAATATATAATTTTATAATATATAAACGGTGCATGAAAAAAATATGTATAAACGTACACGGCAGTTATTTGATATATACTTAAGAGCCAATCTGCCAGAAAACCATGCAAAACCGTCCGAATGTCACTTTTTCCAAATGAGTTCATATTTGGCATATTGGTGCACCTTAGTAATGTCAATAACCACACAAATTTTTTTGGGAAAATATTTAACCGATCTGGATATTTTTTGAGCGCCATGTTTTAACAGATGAAATGGCTCGAAAACAGCAAAAATAAGCCTTTTTTGGCATATTTCGCTGGTTTACATAAAAAAATATGGTAACATTTATAATTTTTTGATAGCTGTTCCTAGTAATACATCACTTTAAGTGTAAGAATGCATAGAATTAACAATGCTGTCTATTAAGTGTATGTATAATCTAACTGTTTCAATATGTCTTATTTAGCTACATGTCCAAAATGGCTGATTTTGGTCATCTTTCAGAGCCAAAATACTCCAAGACCCGTTTATTATTGTAAAACAACATATCTACTTGCAAAGTATAACTATATATACCCAATCAAAAAAAATATCAAGCTCGGCAAATAATGTTGGTGTCTGGTATATGCCACAACAAAATGGGGTAACCTGCATATTCAAATTTTCTCAATTTTGCCGTCTAATTTGTAACTACTGACATATGATAGGATCTGGACTTATAAATAAGTATAACAACAAATGGAAAAGAATAATTAATGTTTCATTTAATACATTAAGAAAATAATCATACATAAATACAAATTATTCATTATAAATCTAGAGGCTCCCAGGAGCTGAAATAGATCGTATTGACAAATTGTGCACCTAAAACGATAAAAAACACATATTTCAAACGCAATCAATTTAAATTAGAAGTTAAACAATTCAGAAGAATTTTAGACTGTAAAAAAAAAGTTTCTTCTGACCACTTTTGCAATTTATTCTTATAATATATTGATATAGTTGTCGGATAGTAGCAGAAAACTGTGAAAATTTGTAAATTTACACATTTCAGGGACAATAGCTCATAGATGTTATGTCCAATTTTTCAGAAAAATTTTGGGTATTTAGATCTTGTCATGTTGATAGTTTTTATCAATATATATATATATATATATTGAAAAGTTTTTAAATTTTGTATACATATATATATATGTATGACACTTCTTCTAAAGTTATTAAGATGATGGTTTAAAAGTGAAAACTGTAAACAGATGATTTTAACAGACAGTTAGTAGGTTAGTGATGGAAATTTTTTTATGACCCTTTGAGCCTAGTATGCTAACAAGGCAAGATTTGCCAGGTACCTATATCTATGTTGCTGCAATGTGGTCAATACAAACATGAAAATCATGAATGCTTCTAAAATGAAGGAACCTTAGTGAGCGCGCTCACATACCCCACGTCCCCACATTGTCATTGGAGAAATAAAATAAGTGTAAGAAAAAAAAATTGTATCAGAAAAAAAAATTGAATCATAATTTCCTGTCAATATGCACATCGACGTAGTATGTCCTTATTATCTACACAGTTTCATGAAATTCTGTTGTGTGGTTTGAGAGGAGTTGAGATGACAAAAGGTTGCCTTAATATATTGGGCAAATAAGTTCAAAGGGGCGTAACTCCTGGAAAAACAATTGAATCGTAATTTCCTGTCGATATGCACATCTACGTAGTATGTCCTTATTATCTAAAAAGGTTTCATGAAATTCTGTTGTGTGGTTTGAGAGGAGTTGCGATGACAAAAGGTTGCAGTAGTATATTGGGCAAATAAGTTCAAAGGGGCGTAACTCCTGGGAAAAAAATTAAATCGTAATTTCCTGTCGATATGCACATCTACGTAGTATGTCCTTATTATCTGAAAAGGTTTCATGAAATTCTGTTGTGTGGTTTGAGAGGAGTTGCGATGACAAACTGTTGCAGTAGTACATTAAAGTAAATAAGTTCAAAGGGGCGTAACTCCTAGAAAAAGAATTGAATAGTAATTTCCTGTCTATATGCACAACTACATAGTATGTCCTTATTATCTAAAAAGGTTTCGTGAAATTCTGTTGTGTGGTTTGAGAGGAGTTGCGATGACAAGAAACAGGACTGACGGACTGACGGATGGACGGACAGACGGACGGACGGGTCAAAAACATTATACCCTCCGCAACTCGTTGCGTGGGGTATAAAAAAATCCCATAACTAGACGAAAAACAAATTACTTAGTCTATATATACCAGTGCAAAATTTATAAAGAATTTTGAATGAAATTGGATAGCTGTTAAGATTACTGTACCTATAATGCTCTAAATCACATCCTCGGAGATAACAGAATTAAAATAAGTCATATGAATCTTCCAATTTCAATAAAGTTGAATATGTTTTTTTATACTTGAACAGCTATAGGTTTTACTATAAAACAAGTGTACATTAACTTTCTTGTAAAAGAAAAACCATAACATTAAAATCTCCATAAATGATGAACTGTTATTTTTTGAGACATCATCCCATGGAAGATTTAACTGATGTTTTAAAGTTGGAAAGTTTTTGTTGCTTGTTTGGTTGGTTGAAATTGTTTCTGTTAGAAGCATTATCAGTCTCCCAATCTGATGTTGACTGCTGTGAAAGTTCAGTTGTTGTTGACACTGACAGAAAGGTTAGCTGCGAGTCTAGATCTGAAAACCACAAAACATACATACATAAATCAGGCTGTTAGTTTTCATATTTTTTCATTTTCTTATTTTGGGGCCTTTTATGGCTGAATATATATGCAGTATAGGTCTTGCTCATTGTTGAAGGCCATATGGCGTATGAAGACCTATAGCTTTACTTCTATTTCATTTGTTCTCATTGGCAATCATACCACATTTTTTTTTTATTTCATATATACCACTGACAGGAAATAAAATTGACAACTTTTACTCTAAGTGGATGCAGTTACAAAATTCTCCCAACTAAAGCCAAATCATTTTTGCAGAATAGTTATTATCCACACCTTTAAAGCATGTCCAAATAGCCCTTAACATCTTTACAACAATAATAAAATGCTCCGCAGGGCGCAGCTTGAAACGACCACAGAGGTCGAACCTTGAACAGTTGGGGCAAGTATGGACACAACATTCAAGCTTGATACAGCTCTGAATTTGGATTGTGATTAAATATTTGACACAGCATAGGTTTCTGACACAGAATGAATGTGGTCTAAGAACTTAAAAATTTTAAATTGGACATTCACCTATTATGGTCCAATATCCAAAATCTAAATACATGGTTAGATTCAGCTTATCAAAGAACCCCAAGAATTCAATTTTTGATGAAATCAAACAAAGTTTAATTTTGGACCCTTTTGACCTCAATGTGGACAAAGTTGATAACGGGGCCCAAAAATCAAAAATCTAAATACATGGTTAGATTCAGCATATCAAAGAACCCCATATATTCAATTTTTGTTGAAATCAAACAAAGTTTAATTTTGGACCCCGATTTGGACCAACTTGAAAACTGGGCCCATAATCAAAAATCTAAATACATGTTTAGATTCAGCATATCAAAGAACCCTAAGAATTCAATTTTTGTTAAAATCAAACTTAGTTTAATTTTGGACCCTTTGGACCTTAATGTAGACCAATTTGAAAACGGAACCAAAAATTAAGAATCTAAATACATGGTTAGATTCCGCATATCAAAGAACCCCAATAATTCAATTTTTGATGAAATCAAACAAAGTTTAATTTTGGACCCTTTGGACCTCAATGTGGACCAATTTAAAAACCGGGGCCCCAAATCCAAAAACTTAATACACGGTTAGATACAGCATATTAAAGAACCCCAAGAATTCAAGAATAAAACCCCATTGAAATTGGTCAAGAAATAAGCAATTTATACGAAGTATCTTCTTTTGCACAATACTGTGCAATTGAATATTTCTTGCTATTGCGCAATACTGTACAATTGACAATTTCTTGCTATTGCGCAATATTGTGCTAATGGATATTTCTTGCTATTGTGCAATACTGTGCAAAGAATAGGTTTCTAACACAGAATAAATATGGTATAAAGATAAAAAGTTTAATAGATTCAGCATATCAGAGAACCCCAAGATCAAATTAAGATTTAAAATTTAGTTTAATTTTGGACCCTTTGGACCTCAATGTAAACCAATTTCATAATAGGGCCCAAAAACTAAATACAGGTTAGATTCAGGCTGAATCAGCATCTTTAAAATTATTGTTGAAATCAAACACAGTTAAATTATGGACCCCATTTGAACCAACTTGAAAACTGGGACCAAAATCATAAATCTAAGTACATATTTATATTCAGGATATTTGATTATTTCTATTTATCATACAAAGAACCCTAATTCATTGTAATTAGAGTTCAAGTTTTGTTAAAATTAAACTAAGTTAAAATTTGGACCCTTTGGACTTTAAAATGTGGACAAATTTGAAAACCGGACCAAAATTAAAAATCTAAATTTAAAACATTTGCATTTTGTATATCAAAAGAACCTCAAGAATTCAAGTTGTGTAGAAATAAGAAAAAAAATTTTGGACCATTTTGAAATCAATGTGAACCAATTTAAAATGGGGCCCAATTGCAACATCTTAAATTATTTAAATACATTGTTAGATTTAGCATATTAAGAACCCAAATAATGTATTTATTTTAATTTGTTCTTGTCCTAAACATGCATGAACTATTTGCCATTGGACATTAGCATTACCAACAACCAATCAATTAATCGAACAATTGAAATATCTTCAAAAGTACCAATAAAAATCTCCCCCTTTTATATTTGAAAAAGTAAAATCACAAAAATACTGAACTCAGAGGAAAATTCAAAAAGGAAAGTCCCCAATCAATTGGCAAAATCAAAAGTTCAAACACATCAAACGAATGGATAACAACTGTCATATTCCTGACTTGGTACAGGCATTTTCTTATGTAGAAAATGGTGGATTGAACCTGGTTTTATAGCTAGATAA